CATGCCCACATCTCCCATGCCCACATCTCCCATGCCCACATCTCCCATGCCCACTTCTCCCATGCCCACTTCTCCCATGCCCACACCTCCCATGCCCACATCTCCCATGCCCACATCTCCCATGCCCACATCTCCCATGCCCACGCCTCCCATGCCCCACATCTCCCATGCCCACATCTCCCATGCCCACATCTCCCATGCCCACATCTCCCATGCCCACATCTCCCATGCCCACATCTCCATGCCCACATCTCCCATCCCACTCTCCCATGCCCACATCTCCCATGCCCACATCTCCCATGCCCACACCTCCCATGCCCACATCTCCCATGCCCACATCTCCCATGCCCACATCTCCCATGCCCACATCTCCCATGCCACATCTCCCATGCCCACATCTCCCATGCCCACATCTCCCATCCCCCCCATGCCCACATCTCCCATGCCCACATCTTCCCATGCCCACATCTCCCATGCCCACATCTCCCATGCCCACATCTCCCATGCCCACATCTCCCATGCCCACATCTCCCATGCCCACCTCTCCCATGCCCACCCTCCCTGCCCACATCTCCCATGCCCACATCTCCCATGCCCACATCTCCCATGCCCACATCTCCCATGCCCACACCTCCCATGCCCACATCTCCCATGCCCACATCTCCCATGCCCACATCTCCCATGCCCACATCTCCCATGCCCACATCTCCCATGCCCACATCTCCCATGCCCACATCTCCCATGCCCCACGCCTCCCATGCCCACATCTCCCATGCCCCACATCTCCCATGCCCACATCTCCCATGCCCACATCTCCCATGCCCACATCTCCCATGCCCACATCTCCCATGCCCACATCTCCCATGCCCACATCTCCCATGCCCACATCTCCCATGCCCACATCTCCCATGCCCACATCTCCCATGCCCACATCTCCCATGCCCACATCTCCCATGCCCACATCTCCCATGCCCACATCTCCCATGCCCCACATCTCCCATGCCCACATCTCCCATGCCCACATCTCCCATGCCCACATCTCCCATGCCCACATCTCCCATGCCCACATCTCCCATGCCCACCCTCCCATGCCCACATCTCCCATGCCCACATCTCCCATGCCCACGCCTCCCATGCCCACATCTCCCATGCCCACCTCCCATGCCCACATCTCCCATGCCCACATCTCCCATGCCCACATCTCCCATGCCCACATCTCCCATGCCCACATCTCCCATGCCCACATCTCCCATGCCCACTTCTCCCATGCCCACTTCTCCCATGCCCACATCTCCCATGCCCACATCTCCCATGCCACATCTCCCATGCCCACATCTCCCATGCCCACGCCTCCCATGCCCACATCTCCCATGCCCACATCTCCCATGCCCACATCTCCCCATGCCCACATCTCCCATGCCCACATCTCCCATGCCCACATCTCCCATGCCCACATCTCCCATGCCCACTTCTCCCATTGCCCACTTCTCCCATGCCCACATCTCCCATGCCCACATCTCCCATGCCCACATCTCCCATGCCCACATCTCCCATGCCCACGCCTCCCATGCCCACATCTCCCATGCCCACATCTCCCATGCCCACATCTCCCATGCCCACATCTCCCATGCCCACATCTCCCATGCCCACATCTCCCATGCCCACATCTCCCATGCCCACATCTCCCATGCCCACATCTCCCATGCCCACATCTCCCATGCCCACATCTCCCATGCCCACATCTCCCATGCCCACATCTCCCATGCCCACGCCTCCCATGCCCACCTCTCCCATGCCCACATCTCCCATGCCCACATCTCCCATGCCCACATCTCCCATGCCCACACCTCCCATGCCCACATCTCCCATGCCCACATCTCCCATGCCCACATCTCCCATGCCCACATCTCCCATGCCCACATCTCCCATGCCCACATCTCCCATGCCCACGCCTCCCATGCCCACATCTCCCATGCCCACATCTCCCATGCCCACATCTCCCATGCCCACATCTCCCATGCCCACATCTCCCATGCCCACATCTCCCATGCCCACATCTCCCATGCCCACATCTCCCATGCCCACATCTCCCATGCCCACATCTCCCATGCCCACATCTCCCATGCCCACATCTCCCCATGCCCACATCTCCCATGCCCACATCTCCCATGCCCACATCTCCCATGCCCACATCTCCCATGCCCACATCTCCCATGCCCACATCTCCCATGCCCACATCTCCCATGCCCACATCTCCCATGCCCACATCTCCCATGCCCACATCTCCCATGCCCACATCTCCCATGCCCACATCTCCCATGCCCACATCTCCCATGCCCCACCGCCTCCCATGCCCACATCTCCCATGCCCACATCTCCCATGCCCACATCTCCCATGCCCACATCTCCCATGCCCACATCTCCCATGCCCACATCTCCCCATGCCCACATCTCCCATGCCCACATCTCCCATGCCCACATCTCCCATGCCCACATCTCCCATGCCCACATCTCCCATGCCCACATCTCCCATGCCCACATCTCCCATGCCCACATCTCCCATGCCCACATCTCCCATGCCCACATCTCCCATGCCCACATCTCCCATGCCCACTTCTCCCATGCCCACTTCTCCCATGCCCACATCTCCCATGCCCACATCTCCCATGCCCACATCTCCCATGCCCACATCTCCCATGCCCACATCTCCCATGCCCACACCTCCCATGCCCACATCTCCCATGCCCACATCTCCCATGCCCACATCTCCCATGCCCACATCTCCCATGCCCACATCTCCCATGCCCACATCTCCCATGCCCACATCTCCCATGCCCACTTCTCCCATGCCCACATCTCCCATGCCCACATCTCCCATGCCCACATCTCCCATGCCCACATCTCCCATGCCCACATCTCCCATGCCCACATCTCCCATGCCCACATCTCCCATGCCCACATCTCCCATGCCCACATCTCCCATGCCCACATCTCCCATGCCCACATCTCCCATGCCCACATCTCCCATGCCCACATCTCCCATGCCCACATCTCCCATGCCCACATCTCCCATGCCCACATCTCCCATGCCCACATCTCCCATGCCCACATCTCCCATGCCCACATCTCCCATGCCCACATCTCCCATGCCCACATCTCCCATGCCCACGCCTCCCATGCCCACCTCTCCCATGCCCACATCTCCCATGCCCACATCTCCCATGCCCACATCTCCCATGCCCACACCTCCCATGCCCACATCTCCCATGCCCACATCTCCCATGCCCACATCTCCCATGCCCACATCTCCCATGCCCACATCTCCCATGCCCACATCTCCCATGCCCACGCCTCCCATGCCCACATCTCCCATGCCCACATCTCCCATGCCCACATCTCCCATGCCCACATCTCCCATGCCCACATCTCCCATGCCCACATCTCCCATGCCCACATCTCCCATGCCCACATCTCCCATGCCCACATCTCCCATGCCCACATCTCCCATGCCCACATCTCCCATGCCCACATCTCCCATGCCCACGCCTCCCATGCCCACATCTCCCATGCCCACATCTCCCATGCCCACATCTCCCATGCCCACATCTCCCATGCCCACATCTCCCATGCCCACATCTCCCATGCCCACATCTCCCATGCCCACATCTCCCATGCCCACGCCTCCCATGCCCACATCTCCCATGCCCACGCCTCCCATGCCCACATCTCCCATGCCCACATCTCCCATGCCCACATCTCCCATGCCCACATCTCCCATGCCCACATCTCCCATGCCCACATCTCCCATGCCCACTTCTCCCATGCCCACTTCTCCCATGCCCACATCTCCCATGCCCACATCTCCCATGCCCACATCTCCCATGCCCACATCTCCCATGCCCACGCCTCCCATGCCCACATCTCCCATGCCCACATCTCCCATGCCCACATCTCCCATGCCCACATCTCCCATGCCCACATCTCCCATGCCCACATCTCCCATGCCCACATCTCCCATGCCCACATCTCCCATGCCCACATCTCCCATGCCCACATCTCCCATGCCCACATCTCCCATGCCCACATCTCCCATGCCCACTCCTCCCATGCCCACATCTCCCATGCCCACATCTCCCATGCCCACATCTCCCATGCCCACATCTCCCATGCCCACATCTCCCATGCCCACACCTCCCATTTCACGCCTCCCATGTCCTCACCTAATTTGGACTTAACGTTTACGAACGTTTACGTACGTTGTCTGGTTTTAGACTAGCGTTTATGGTCAGCCATAAAATTTTCCCTCGCTGCCCAAACAAACAAAAACCAGCAAACGTCACCCCACAATTTCCCCTCACGTAATTCGCAAGGAACGGAATTTGACGTGGAACCCACATTTCGTCCCACACACGTTTTGTGACGACAAATTTGGGTGTAGCTGGGGAGTTGCTGATTTTCGAAGAATCCAATTGGTTGTTGGATTTCCACCCCCACGGCCAACCCAATTTCCCGTACACACCGCGCCCACCCCTCGATTCCCTTCGCCACTTCTTCCTCCACGAATTCCTTCACCTACCTCAGTCGCGTCATACTTCCGCAGCAGGCGCCAAACTTCCACGCAGCCTAGACGCAAGCTAATAGCAGAATTTCAGTCGACTTAACTGCTGGCATGCCATGATCTTCTCCCAAACGTTAGCTTAGTCCCTCCCTCGTACAACCGCGAAGTAAACCTTTCCAGCCGTAGGCACGGTCAGGTTCGCGGCTTTCCATTCAAGGCCAGAATTTCTCACTTTTTTTTTTCCTGATTTTTTTTTTCAACCTTCCCAGCATTAGTAGGGCACGTTCGTTAACGTTCGTTAGCATTAACGTTAGTTAACGCGTTACGTAACGCTAACACAGCCCAAAATAGCGTTAGAGCCCAACTAAGGTCCACACCTCCCATGTCCACATCTCCCATGCCCACACCTCCCTACCCCGGTCATCCCATCACCTTCCTGCAGGGAAGCCGCTGCCCGACTCACCTTCCTCCCTCCGCCAGCTGTCTACTGCGTCGCCCGCCCACTGCATCAAATCCGTGCGCCCTTGCTCCCTGCTCCTCCAATCTCCCACCCACCCGTCCAACCCCTCCCACTATTGTTCCTATCTTACCATGGGTCCCCCATGTTTCCGTTGATCGATCCCCGTATTCACTCTTCCTATCTTCCCACGGGTCTACGGTATTTCCGTTGATCCCTCCTGTCCAACTCCCCGAATGCACTCTCCACGTGACCCACTCATCTCCGTCTCGCCCCACACCACACCTCCAATCTCATGTCCCTGCATTCCCTCCTCTTCCTAATTCCAGCCCCTTTTTTTTGTCTGTGTTCTATTTCCTTCCTCCCCCCTCCATGCTCGTCTCTCAGGTCCTCTCATGGGCGTCAGACGAGTCCACCATTTTGTCTCTCAAGGACAGACTCGCGGAGCTCTACTGCCGCCAGCTCTCCAAGGTGTGCTCCGCCTCCCTCCCCTCCCCTCCCGCTCTCTCACAAACCCACATGCGCACACACATGCTCACCATCCATTTTGTCTCTCTAGGACAGGCTCTCTGAGCTCTTCTGCCACCAGCTCTCCAAGGTGTGTCTTGTCGTGAAATGGGTTAACGGTAGGTTTACGGTGGGTTAACGGTAGGTTTACGGTGGGTTAACGGTAGGTTTACGGTGGGTCACTGTGTTTTCTCCTCGCCTTCAGGATCGCCCCCTCGTCACCACCACCTGCTCATCCTCCACCTGGCCTACTTTTGAGGCGCCCCAAAAATAGACTTCCCCTTCCTGACTCTCACCACCCTAAACCCTTCCATGGATTCTCCACCACCCTCTCTCTTCCCCTTCACGCCCTGTCTCCCACCAGGTGCGAGCGCCATGGAGGGAAGTTCGGGAGTGGCCGCACTTGCTGCAAAAGACGATGCTTTTTCCTTCCCTTCCATATCTTATCCGTGCCTCTCCTCCCCCCCCTCTCTTTCCCACCAGGTGCGAGCGCCACTGGACGGAGTGCTGGAGTGGCTGCACGCGCTGCAGGAGACACTGCTTCTTCGACCCCATTCCCCTCATTGCTTTCTGGCTCCCTTCGTTGCTCCTTGTCTCTCACCAGGTGCGGGCGCCACTGGACGGAGTGCCGGGGTGGCTGCACGCGCTGCAGAAGGCAGAAGGGTTGCGTGCTGTGGCCACTACCAGAGACTCTTCACCACCCTCTCTCTTCCCCGTCACGTCCTGTCTCTCACCAGATGCGGGCGCCACTGGACGGAGTGCCGGAGTGGCTGCACGTGCTGCGAAAGACAATGCTTTTCCCTCCCCCCCCCTCACCCCCCCCCACCCCCCTCTCTCCCACCAGGTGCGAGCGCCCCTAGAGGGGGTGCCAGAGTGGCTGCACGCGCTGCAGAAGGCGGGGGTGCCGTGTGCCGTGGCCACCTCCATCGACCGCCTCACTCTGCTCGCCGCTCTCGACCGCATGAAGCTGCTGCACCACTTCCAGGTACCCACGCCTTTTCCCGGTGGTGCATTGTTTTGTTCAGCCACACCAAGCATCACTTCTTGATTTTGCAGGGTGTTTTTCCAAAAACGCCCTGCAAAATCAGGTAGCGACGCCTTTTCCAGGTGGTGCATCTGTTCTTCAGCCACACCAAGCATCACTTCGTTTGGCCCGCTCACTCTGCTCCCTTCTCTCTGCTCTCTTGTCTGCTCTCAGTCACCGCACCTCTCGTCTACTCCCCCCCCATCAGGCGTTTGTGACAGCAGAGGGCGGCAGGGAGTCAACAGCCCACCGTATTGTGTCGGTGTGGCCCAAACGAACCCCCGCTTCTTCCCCTTTCCACTCTCCCTGCCACCCCAACACCCCCCCATCAGGCGTTTGTGACAGCAGAGGGCGGCATGGAGTCAATGGCCCGCCGGTTCCCTTCGGATGCGAACTCCTGGTTCTTCCCCTCACTCACATCTCCCCACTCGCTTCTCCTCTCTCGCTTCTCCTCTCTCGCTTCTCCTCCCTCGCTTCTCCTCCCTCGCTTCTCCTCTCCCCATCCGGCCATCAGGCGTTTGTGACAGCGGAGGACGGTATGGAGTCAATGGCCCACCAGTTCCTGTCTGCTGCTGTCAAGGTAAGCCACTGCGTGAGGGGGCCATGTAAACTACCCTTCCTCACGCCCTCTTCTCCTCTCTCTCACACACATGTGCCTGGTGTGCCTCCGATTTCTGAGATGTCCCATTCCTCTCAACTCTGTGTGACACTCTTCTCTCAGTTTGAGCCACTTCCGTGTGTAATGAGTCTATTTTTGAGTCGACTAAAAAAAAAGAACGCTCTTCTCTCAGTTTGAGCCACTTCCATTGCTCGGCACCGTTTCTGACGCTTGCTCTCTCCTCTTTCCTTCTGACCCCTTGTCCCCCGTGTTTCCCACTTCCTTGCTTGGAGCCAGCTGGACCGCAGTTTTGAGGTGCCTCAAAACGGCACCGTTTCTGACGCTCTCTCTCCTCTTTCCTTCTGACCCCTGTCCCCCGTGTTTCCCACTTCCTTGCTTGGAGCCAGCTGGACCGCGCCCCAGCCAAGTGTGTGGTGTTTGAGGACGATCCGAGGGGCATCACTGCAGCACATAACTGCAGCATGAAGGCAGTAGCGCTCATCGGCACGCACCCCGCGTAAGCAACAGAGTTGTGGGTCCATCCCAAATGTCCTCATAACCGCAGCACACAACTGCAGCATGAAAGCTGTCGCTCTAATCGGCACACACCCTGCGTAAGCAAATTGCTGATTAGACCTTTTACGGGTTTACTTATCCTCTTCCCTCAGACTTCTACAACCACCCGAAGTCATGCTGTTTCCCCTCTCAACCCTCTCATCCCCTTCCCTTTCTGGAATGGTCCTTAGTATACAGAGAAAGGGTGGTGCACTACGTCCTAGCTAGCTACAGCCGCCCCCCTAGGGTGTGCCGGGCGGTGGCCCTAGGATGTGGAACAGGTAACTGGTGTCGAGGGGCTCGATGACACCCGCAGCAGCAGCCGAGTCCGCGTGTAGAGCGGCGTTGGTCTGGCCATGAGTCTGCTATTGAGTCGACTCAAAAGCAGCAGCCGAGTCCGCGTGTAGAGCGGCGTTGGTCTGGCCATGATGGGCAAGGGATTGAGCCGGCTGCAGTTTCACAGCCTCTGCCGACTTCGGCTCTGCGTTGAAGCGCTTCCTGGCAGCAAAAGCAGGCTTCAATGCAGGCGGATCTGGCAGTCTCTTGCTATGCGGAGCTGTTGCTGATTAATCTGCTTTTCCGGTGCCTCAAAGGCATGCTCCCCACATCCCTTCCTTCCCCCGTCCACCTTCCCCCCCTACCCCCCTCCCCCCCCCCCCACCTCACACCCAGCTATGAGCTAAAGCAGGGGGATCTAGCAGTGTCTAGCTATGCTGAGCTGTCGGTGATTAAACATTCTAAGGCGCCCCAAAAGCATACTCCTTTCCACATCCCCCCCTCTTTCCCCCTCCACCTCACATCCAGCTACGAGCTGAAGTAGGCGGACTTGGCAGTCTCTAGCTATGCGGAGCTGTTGCTGATGAATCTGCTTTTCCGGTGCCTCAAAGGCATATTCCCCACATCCCCCCCCCCCACCTCACACGCAGCTGTGCGTTGAAGCAGGCGGATCTGGCAGTGTCTAGCTATGCTGAGCTGTCGGTGATTTAACAGTTGCCGCAAAAGCCTACTCCTTTCCACATCCCCCCCTCTTCCCCCCCCCCCACCTCACACACAGCTATGAGTTGAAGCAAGCGGATCTGGCAGTGTCTAGCTATTCTGAGCTGTCAGTGATTAATCTGCGCAGACTGTTTGCGAATAGAGGCCACGGCATTGAGCACATGGAGCTGAAGAAGCAGCGGGAGGAGCAGGGGCCAAAGAAACGGCGCTGGCACACCGACACCCTGTACTGAGGGGGGGTGGTGTACTGTTCATACCCCTTATGAGAAATACGCTTTGCAACTAGAGGCCAGGGCATTGAGCACATGGAGCTGCAGAAGCAGCAGGAGGAGCAAGGCAAGGGCCAAAGAAACGAAGACGGCACACCAACACCCTGTACTGAGGGGGGTAGTGTGGTGGTGTGCCTGCATGGTGTAGTGGCACACTGACAACCTGCACTGAGGGTGGTAGTGTGCTTGTACAGGGTTCACACAGTGGTCACATAGCCTGGTCTTCACCATGCTGTGCAAGAATGGTGTTTTGAATAAAACCATATAGATATTGTGCAGGGTGGTGCGACACCGGAGGCATCTCCTCCATTTTTTCTCTCCCCTGACAAGCTACGGTACAATACAAGCCCCTCACATTGTATTCAACAGGCTCGCGCGCCACTTATTTTATACATGGTGCAGGGACGGATGGAAGCATTTCGCCCAATGCTGCGCGGGTCCCCTCTTCCCTCCCCTCTCAAGCCATTCCCGCCGGCTTTTGAGTCAACTCAAAAGTCAGGTCGCCTAATGGCGTGTCGCCTCTTCTCGTCGCTTCCCTCCCCTCTCAAGCCATCCCAGCCGTCCCGAAGAGCCGCAGTATGCCATACGTAATCCCCATCGCCAGCCACCCGCCCGCGGTGCACCGCGCTGCGGCTCTAATTTTATTCGCTCCGCCCAGCCACGCGCCGAGCATGCCGAAGCCAATAAACGTGAGCGTCGTCACTAATAGAAGCACCACCAATTGCGCAACGTGGTTTTTTATAAACGCGGCGGATAATAACGGGATGATGGCTCCGACGATGAACGCCCCCGCGGATGCCAGGGCAGCTTGTAACGGGTTCGAGAGGTCGTCCATATCAATGCCCAGCTCGTCGCGAGCGTGAGCGCGAACGGGGTCGACTCGCGAAAGCTCCTCTGCGACTTCGCGTGCGAGCCTGTGCGACAATCCGCGCGACACGTAAATCTGCGCGAGCTCCTCCAATTCCCGCTCGATCGCCTCGGGACCTTTCAAAAACTCATCCCGCTCCTTTTGCACATCCGCTTCCTCTATATCGCGTTGCCCATAAACGGAGATGTACTCGCCGATCGCCATGCTGCACGCGCCACCGACAAGCCCGGCCAATCCGGAGATGATGATTTGGCTGCTGTCGATGGCGCCGACGCCGACCATGAGCGACGCGACCGACACGAGCCCGTCGTTGGCGCCGAGAAGCGCGGCGCGAAGCCACGGCGCGCGGTGCGAGAGGTGCACGTGTCCGCATTGGTGGTCGCCGTTAGACTCGGAAACGCGCACAGATACAGCCTCGTTGGTGAGGAGAGCGTTCTCCCTCGGCGGGCTCGAGGTACCATACATGCTGCTGACGGCTTGATTGCTGTCTTGTGGAGTCTTGTTAGCACGATCCTCTGGATCCGTCGGAGGGAGATTCCCAGCCGTCATTTTCTGTTCTCAGATATGAACGCGCTCGCAGGGTCGCAGGGTCGCAGGAAGTGGTTCGCGCGAGTGTAGGTTGGCGACGAGTACTCGGTCGCAGGAAGGAAGAGGGCCGAAGGAGCAGCGGACACAGTCGCGAGACTGGGAGATTGGAGGGCGAGCACACAACGAAGGGAGGGAGAGTCGACGGGAAGAGCAGAAAATTGGGAGAAAATAGAAATGTATGATAGGTGTCGGTGAGGCGAGGTGATATGTAGAGTGGAGGGGGGAGCAGCAGAGGAAGGGAGAAGAGGGGAGGGAGGGGTAGGGCAGGGAGAGCGAAAATGATGTGGGCCGAGGCACAGGCACCACGCAACGAGCACGTGCAGGTACGGGATGTCGAGGCTGCGTGGCTTTAATTCATTGGCTAATTCTGCTTCCATGCCTGATTGCGTCAACAACAGACCCGTGATGGCCATTTCATCCGTTGACAGCTGGTCAGCTGAAATCCCCGGATTTGCCTACGTGGTCAAAGTGATTGGTTCAGCATCGTGCTGCGTGCCCACACGAGCCGTCCAGCTGTGCACAGCGCATGTTCGACGTGTGGTTGCCTCGCGGATAGCTTCGTGCGCCGGCTTTTAGTCGGTGGCTCGCTAGTGGTGAGGTTCCGCGTGATTCGTTTGTGGAAGCTGCTCGCGAAAGCAGGAAACACCATATCCTTCACAAGTTTACCCGGTACCAATAAACGGATGGATAAACAAGTTTACGCGGTTCACAAGTTTCCGCATTCGGGAACAATATTTTCCAACAAACGATTCCCGAGTAGGATATGATCCCAGTTTAATTCTGCTTTGTAACGAGATCTCACTATAGTCGAAGCTGCATTGGGTTTGCCGGCCGATAGCAAGAGGTGTTTCTAGATACTCTTTTTCACTCATCGCCATGGCGCCGCTTCCTGTTAGGCTGGTCATAAACGGCGTTCGCCGCTCCTCGACTCGTCGCGCGTTCGCTAAAAAAAGATCTGCCATTGGCAGCACGTACACTCCAGATACCATTCCTCCTTCCCAGCGTCATACTGACATCGCCGTCAATCCTGACGTCACAGTTAACGTTAATCGGCTCCAGTTACCCACGAACTCGCCGGCTCACCCTAAACAGGCACAAGGAAACTGTTTTTCTGGTCCATTTGTTGCCAGGATCTTGCCTTTCGGCGTTGATCCGAGAGCAGGATCCTGCACTCCCTCACTTTCCCGCTCTCCTACAGAAAATCTTTCAACGTTTAGATCCCAACGCTCTCGCGTCTTCCCCGATTTAGCCGCGCCCGGAGTAGCGTTCTCAACCTCCACGTCATTACAGTCACGCTCGTTTGGCGAGGCAAACGACCGATCCGATGCGTCGGGATCCGTACTCGGCAAATCCGATCCAAAACCTGCCGATCTTGTCTCTGCTGACGTGTCGTCACCGGATTCGTCAGCTTCCAGCCCGGAGGATAACGTCTCAGTGACTAAGAGGGGGAGGCCGAGGAAGAGACCACCTAGCAGTGCCAGCAGCGGTAACGGAAACGATGGAGACGACAACGCCTGTAGCGATAGCAGTGATAGCAGCAGCAGCGGCAGCAGCAGCGGCAGCAGCAGCAGCAGTAGTAGCGGTAGTAGCGGTAGTAGCGGCAGCAGCAGCAGCGGCGACAGCAGTAGCGTTAAGCGAGGCAGAAAGAAGCGTGCTAGCAGCAGCGGCAGCAGCAGCAGCAGCAGCGGCAGTGGCGGCGGCGGCGGCGGCGACGGTAACATTGCGGCTGTTAGCGAAGCAACGCTACTCGCTGATAGTGACTCAAACGGGGACAGCAGTGTGACTAAAGAGGGGGCGAAGCTGGTCGTGGAAGAGCCGGAGATTATCGGCGAAGAGAGTATAGCGGGGGAGAAGCAGGTGTGGCAGGGCGAGGACGAGGAGGACACGTGGGAGATGGACGCCGAAGCGGAGGTGACTGTAATGAGGGCCGTGGACGAAGGGACGGCGCCCAAGCCGCCAGCTCTGAGCAGGGGCGCCAAGGAACGTGTCAACCACGCGCTCAAGCACTTCGCCACGCGCGGGTACGTGTATAACTTGCAGCAGATAGCCGCCATTTGCATTCCGTACCGCTTCTTCCCGGCAGTTATCCCTTGACTCCCTCCCTCTCCCCGCTCACCCTTCCCTCTCCGCCCGCTAACTCCTTAACTTCCTTGCATTCTCCGCTCTCCCTCCACCCCCAGGTGCCGTGTCTCCTTGCATTCTATTCTTCTTCCAGGGGGGCAGCACGCCGAGCACTAGCCATCTGCATCGCGTCGCGTTTCTTCCAACGGTTCTTCCTTAAATCCCTCTCCTTTCTTCCTCTTATCTCTTCGTCCCCCCCTCCTTCCCCCCCCTCTACCAGTTGGGCGGCAGATCAGGCGCTAGCCATCTGCATCCCCTCGCGCTTCTTTCCCCCAGCACTTTTCTTGCGTCTGCCCTCTCCCTCCCCCCCCCCCCCGTGCCCTTTCTCCCCCTTCCCTCCCTTTTCCTTGCAGCTGGGCGGCAGACCAGGCCCTGGCCATCTACATCCCCTCGCGCTTCTTCCCCACAGCCGCCTCCAAGTTCCGCCGCTTCGTGCTGCGCTGCTGCTCGCCCGCCCTCGCCTCTGCTCTTGAGCACATGGGTCCCGGGAGGGACGCGGACGAGTTCCTCTTCCCCCTGTTCGCGGAGTTCTGTTTCGGGGAGTTTCCAGAGGAGATCAGGAAATATCGTGACCTGGTCAACTCGGCTGATATGACAAAGCCGCACATCTGGTACGGTGTGGTATGGGCTGGCGTCAATCGGGCGTGTGGTATGGTGTGGTGTTTGCGGACGAGTTCCTCTTCCCCCTGTTCGCTGAGTTCTGCTCTGGGGAGTTTCCAGAGGAGATTAGGAATAATTGCAATCTGGTCACTCGGCTGATATGACGAAGCAGCACATCTGGTACGTACGTACGTCATGGCATGGCATATGGATAGTCTTCTCCCGCACTCATTTCCAGAGCCCTTGCGGTCAAAAAGTTGTGGTATTTATGTATCGTATACCCTCTCCCTCTCTTTCTTCCTCTTTCCCTCCACGTACCCCCAAGCGCGTGCCATGTCCCACAAGGTGGTGTACCACATGGGCCCCACCAACAGCGGCAAGACAGCAGCACAGTGCACCACCTGTATGTGTACCACACCCCCCTTTCCCCCCTCCAGGTACCCCCAGGCCCGCGCCATGCCCCGAAAGGTGGTGTACCACATGGGCCCCACCAACAGCGGCAAGACGCACCGAGCGCTGGTCAGGTTCAAGGAAGCTTCCTCGGGCGCATACTGCGGGCCGCTCAGGCTGCTGGCTATGGAGGTATGGCAGCGAGGTTGAGAGGGAGTGGTTGAGTTGCGAGGGAGTGGTTGAGTTGCGAGGGAGTGGTTGAGTTGCGAGGGGGTGGTTGAGAGGATGTGACCATGTGATTGAGGATGATGCATGGGCGTGTGATGGCTATTGCGTGTACTGCAATTTACACGGGAGTGAAGCCTTCAAGCAAATCAAATGTCAACCTCACTCTTTGACCCATCTCGCTATCATGCCAGGTGTTTGACCGAGTGAATGCGGACGGAGTGTACTGCAGCCTGGTGACGGAGCAGGAGAGGAAGCAGATGCCGTGTGCCATTTGCTTTTGAGCCGTTCCGAAAGCGTTTCTCCCACCCCCCCCTGGCCCGGCAGGTGTTTGACCAGGTCAACGAGTGTACTGGTGGCGGTTGAGTCCACTCCCTGTTTTTTCCATCCATCCATCCACCCCTCAATGCAGGTATTTGACCGGGTCAACGCGGATGGAGTGTACTGCAATCTGGTGACTGGGCAGGAGAGGAAGGAGATGCCATTCGCCAGCCACACCGCCTGCACCATCGAGATGGCCAACCTCAGCACTCCGGTGGATGTGGCCATCATAGATGAGATTCAGGTGGGTGCTCCGCTCTCAACTTGGTTCGTGTAGTCGTATAGGTTTGGAGGGGTTTGAAGGAGATGCCGCTCGCCAGCCACACCGCCTGCTCCATCGAGATGGCGAACCTCAGCACTCCGGTCAACGTGGCAATCATAGACGAGATTCACGAGTGACTTTTGAGTCGAATTAGAAGTGTTTGGCGGTTCTATGTTCATTGGGATGGGAATTCAGTGTGTTTTGCTCAACTCCCATCCCTCGGTTCTCCACGGTAACCCCTCTCAGATGATTAGTGACGAGCGTCGAGGGTGGGCACTTGTGTGGGCACCTGTGCGGGCACCTGTGTGGGCACTGCTAGGGACCTACGCTCATTATATCATCAAGCACGCATCCCCTTCATGTCCATTCGCTCCTTTCCTTTTCCTGCTCCCCCCCGCAGATGATCAGTGACGATTACCGCGGGTGGGCGTGGACCAGGGCTTTGCTGGGCGTGCAAGCAGCGGAGGTGCACGTGTGTGGAGACCCCTCGGTGCTGCCTCTGCTGAGAGCCATTTGTGACGCCACAGGGGACGAGTTCGAGTGCCACCATTATCACCGCTTTGCACCGCTCACTGTGGATCAGGTATGTGGGCTGGGGTTTATGAGGGTAAGCAGCGGAGGTGCACGTGTGTGGAGACCCCTCGGTGCTGCCTCTGCTGAGAGCCATCTGTGGTGCCACGGGGGACGAGTTCGAGTGCCACCATTATCACCGCTTTGCACCGCTTTGCACCGCTCACCGTGGATCAGGTACGCATTGCTCCTCTCTCCTTGGAGAGAATCTGCCAGATTCTGTCCAGCTTTGTTTTTGAGGCGCCTAAAAAAATGAATCTGCCAGATTCTGTCGGGCTTTGCAGCATGTGATGCACCTCTTTCCTTGGAGCGTTCATCTGTTGCCGTGCTCTCTACACTAGTTTGCTGTGCAGGGTGCTTTGCACCGCTCTCAAAATCCTTCAACCGCACTTCTTCCAGTTCCCATACTATGGGTGCCGTGCCGTGCTTTTCATAATCCCCCTGCTGTCTTATGCTCCGTCCTCTTTCCTCCACCAGACCAGCCTGCAGGGCGATCTGGGGCGGGTGTCACCTGGCGACTGCATCGTGGCATTCTCGCGGCGGGAGATCTTCGAAATCAAGGTAATATTCTTTTTGAGGCGACTAATAAATCACCGACGAAGTCAAGGTAATGTACGTCTGTGTACGAAATTAAGGTTCAAGGGAGTCGTGTCTTCGCCTTAACGGCCCCTCAAGTCTTGTTGATTACCTGTAATTATTAAGTGTTGTTCGTGGTTGCAAGGCACGACCACTGGTGCTCCTTATACTTTCAGTTTGCAGACACCATGCACAGTCTGGTGCTTGTCACAGCTTCGCTCCGTACTCAGTGCAGAGGTCAGTGGAGTGTCCTGGGAAAGCCAAGTGGCAAGGGGAAGCCTAGTGTCCCACAGAAGCCAGTGTCCGGGGATGCATAGGGGGGGATGCATAGGGGGGGGTGCATAGGGGGGGATGCATAGGGGGGGATGCGTGGGTGGGGATGCATAGGGGGGGATGCATAGGGGGGGATGCATAGGGGGGGATGCATAGGGGGGGATGCATAGGGGGGGATGCATAGGGGGGGATGCATAGGGGGGGATGCATAGGGGGGGTGCATAGGGGGGGATGCATAGGGGGGGATGCATAGGGGGGGGTGCATAGGGGGGATGCGTGGGTGGGGATGCATAGAGGGGGATGCATAGGGGGGGATGCATAGGGGGGGATTCATAGGGGGGGATGCATAGGGGGGGATTCATGGGGGGGGAAGCATGGGGAGGGATTCATGGGGGCGGATGCATGGGGGGGGGATGGGCAGGCGGGGCGAACGTACGAAGCGCGAAATCGGAGAGCGGGGGGGTGGATTATGGGGGGGAGCTGCATAGGGGGGGGCGCTCGTATGTTAGGGCGTTCGTATGTTGGGGCGTTCGTATGTTGGGGCGTTTATATGTTAGGGTTTGGTATGTTAGGGCGTTGGAATGTTAGGGCGTTCGTATGTTACGGCGTTTGTTCGTATGTTCGACCGTTCGTATGTTACGGCGTTCGTATGTTACAGCGTTCGTATGTTACGGCGTTCGTATCATACGGCGTTCATATGCTTGGGAGTTTGTATGTTGGGGCGTTCGTATGTTAGGCCGTTCGTATGTTAGGCTGTTCGTATGTTAGGCTGTTCGTATGTTAGGCTGTTCGTATGTTAGGCTGTTCGTATGTTAGGCTGTTCGTATATTAGGCTGTCCGTATGTTAGGCTGTTCGTATGTTGGGGCGTTCGTATGTTAGGGCGTTCGTATGTTTGGGCGTTCAGCTAATTTGGCTGGCGTCCTGCTAACTTGCCTGGCGACCAGCTAACTTGCCTGGCGTCCAGCTAACTTGCTTGGCGTCCAGTTAACTTGCCTGGCGTCCAACTAACTTGCCTGGCGTCCAATTAACTTGCCTGGCGTCCAGCTTATTTGCCTGGCGTCCAGGTTGGGGTTCAATTCAACGAGACCACCCAAGCACCGCTGCTGCGTGCTGTGAGGCGTGGCGGCAGCAGGCTAGGCTGTTATGCACCCCCCCTTCCCACACTCCCCCCTCCCCCCCTTCCCACACTCCCCCCTCCCCCCCAACCTCACCCACCCTCTCTTGCACTAGATGGGGCAGTGGAGTGGAGATGACGACCAAGCACCGCTGCAGCGTGGTGTACAGGGCTCTGCCCCCTGAGACTAAGCCGCCGCAGCAGGCGCGGCTTTTCGACGAGGGCAGCGAGTCCAGCATGCTGCTACTCACTTCCTTCCCCACCATTCCCCCTGTTACTACAGAGAGCAGTGGAGATGACGACCAAGCACCGCTGCTGCGTGGTGTACGGCGCTCTGCCTCCTGAAACGCGACGGCAGCAGGCACGGCTGTTCAATGAGGGCAGCGAGTTCGGAGTGCTGGTGGCGTCTGACGCCATCGGCATGGGGCTCAACCTGTCGATTAGGAGAGTCGTGTTTTCAACGCTGCATAAATTCAACGGAGAGGAGAAGATCCGCATCCCCTCACCCATGGTGGGTACCTGGCATGCTATGTGCCATGGGGTTTTCTGAATTCATGCGCAGTGATCTTTCTTGCTATGTGCTTCCCCCCCCTCTCTTTCTTGCTATGTGCTTCCCCCCCCTCTTTCTTGCTATGTGCTCCCCCCCCTCTCTTTCATGCTATGTGCTTCCCCCCCCTCTCTTTCATGCGGAGTTAGGGGATCTTTCTTGCTATGCGCTACTCCCCCCCCTCTCTTCCATGCTTCTGCCCCAGCCCCAGCCCCAGCCCCTCCTCCCCCTTTGATCCACTCTTGCTCATGCGCTACTCCTTTTCTCTCCCCCGTTGCATAGTGTTGTTTCATGCTGTATGCTCCCCCCCCCCTTCTCTCTCTCGCCCTCTGCATCCCTCCCCTTCCCCGCCTTCTAAACAGGTGAAGCAGATCGCAGGGAGAGCAGGCAGGAGGGGCAGCCGGTATGAGGAAGGGGTCGTGACCTGCCTGGACCCAGCAGACACACCTCTGCTGATCGGCGCTCTGCAGGACCCTGTACAGCCCACCACCGCTGCTGGGCTCTTTCCGCTCTTCGAACAGGTGAGTGAGATGCAGTGCAATGGTGTGCTGTGGTGTGGTGTGCGGTGAGATACCTGTGTGGGGTGGTGACCTGCCTGGACCCGGCTAATGAGTGCATTTCAAGATCTCATTTGAGCACATCACGCCTGCTGGGCTCTTCCCGCTCTCGGAACAGGTGAGGTGTGTTTTTTGAGGCGCCTCAAAAATCGTGTGCTGGGTGGTCAGGTGCTGGTCGTGTGTGTGTTGGGGGGGGGAGGGGGGAGGGGGGTTGGGCAGGGGTGACCTGCTTGCTTCGACCCAGCCGGCACCTCTCGGCTCGGACGGAGGTGCTTGGACGGAGGTGCTTGGACGGAGGGGCTTGGACAGAGATGTGTGGACGGAGTGGGTGTGGTAAGTGTTAGGTGCAGGTGGTGTAGGTGGTAGTGTGGGTCTTCAGGTGTGAGGTGGTGTGCTGCAGTGGTGTATGAAGTGGTGACCTGCTTTGTGGGGACCCAGCCGACACGCCACTGCTCATCACCGTTTTGCCGGGCCCTGTAGGTCCCAACACGGCTGCTGGGCAGTGGGCTGCTGGGCTGCTGGGCTGCTGGGCTGCTGGGCAGCTGGGCTGCTGGGCAGCTGGGCTCCTGGGCTGCTGGGCTGCTGGGCTGCTGGGCTGCTGGCCTGCTGGCCTGCTGGCCTGCTGGCCTGCTGGCCTGCTGGCCTGCTGGGCTGCTGGGCTGCTGGGCTGCTGGGCTGCCGGGCTGCCGGGCTGCTGGGCTGCTGGGCTGCTGGGCTGCCGGGCTGCCGGGCTGCCGGGCTGCCGGGCTGCTGGGCTGCTGGGCTGCTGGGCTGCCGGGCTGCCGGGCTGCCGGGCTGCCGGGCTGCCGGGCTGCTGGGCTGCTGGGCTGCTGGGCTGCTGGGCTGCTGGGCTGCTGGGCTGCTGGGCTGCTGGGCTGCTGGGCTGCTGGGCTGCTGGGCTGCTGGGCTGCTGGGCTCTACCCATTGTTAGAAACAATTTCAATGGGAGTCTCTGGGCTCTGTCCATTGTGTTGATGTGGTGGTTCTTTGCTTGGCCCCGCCCATCCTGTGCTATCCCGTCACCCATCCCACCCAGCATCACTTCACCAGGAGGTGAGTTGGCTCCTGATCTTTGCTGTCTCCTTTGCTTAGTTGCTGCTTAGTAATCACAGGCTACTGTTTCCATATGCCTGCCGTCCCCACTCCGTCATCACCCCTCACCACCCCTTGCCACCCCTCACCTCCCCTCACCACCCTTCACCTCTCCTCACCACCCTTCACCTCCCCTCGCCACCCCTCTCCACCCCTCATCACCTCTCATCACAGGTGGAGGCCTTTTCTAGTCGGCTGCCTGACGTTTCCTTTGCTAAGTTGCTGGACAGGTAACTCATTTGTGACTGTAACCCGTTCGTGACTGCAACTCATTTGTGACTCTAACCCGTTCGTGACTGCAACTCATTTGTGACTCTAACCCATTCGTGACTGCAACTCATTTGTGACTCTAACCCGTTCGTGACTGCAACTCATTTGTGACTCTAACCCATTCGTGACTGCAACTCAATTGTGACTCTAACCCATTCGTGACTGCAACTCATTTGTGACTGTAACCCGTTCGGGACTGCAACTTATTTGTGATTGTAACCCGTTCGTGACTGCAACTCATTTGTGACTGTAACCTATTTGTGGCTGCAAATCATTTGTGACTGTAACCCGTTTGTGACTGCAACTCATTTGTGACTCTAACCCATTCGTGACTGCAACTGATTTGTGAATGTGTCCCTTGCTGAGTGTCTTGCTTTCGCCCCACTTAATTTTTTCATTTCATTTGCAACTGATCTCGTATATATCACTTGTAAAGTTCTCACAATCCAAAGGTCTGGTTTCCTTCCATGAATCATGTCTCAAAAGAGTCCTCTCTCTGCCTGCCTGCCTGTCCCTTCACCGTCTGCCTTCCAGATTCATGGTTAAGTAGTTTAGTTTTGAGACGTCTGCCTGCCTGCCTGCCTGTCCCTTAAGTTTAGTTGTAAGTGGTTAACTACTTAGCCTCTGCCTGCCTGTCCCTTAACCACCTGCCTTCCAGATTCGTCGAGACGTCCAAGCTGGACGGCACGTACTTCCTATGCCGCACCGACAACATTCGGGTACGAATCACACGCTAAGATTCGATGCTGTTGGGACGATTCGCGAGGAGTCTATCTTTGTGGCGCCTAAAAAATAAACTCACATTTGGGTACGAATCACACGCTAAGATTCGATGCTGACGGGACGATTTCTTTAGTCTCGCGTCAGAATCCGATTCTGGTGTGGCATCTGAGTACACCTAACATGGTTTTGCCATGCCATGGCACTGACATCCCTGAGAGCCCTAACTTGACCTGGTTTCTCCACATCCCTAATGTCACTGATCCCACTGTCATGGCTGCTCTGCTGTCGCCCCTTCCCCACCCCTGCGCTCCCTCCCTCCCCACGTCCATGTCCCCTCCTGCTACCCAGTGTGTGGCCACCTTGCTGGGTATGATCAAAGAGTTGACCCTCAGGGTCCGTTTCTGCTGTGCCCCGGCCAACGCCAGTGACCCCTGTCATGCCGGTTCTATTGCCCTCCCCCTTCCTCACCCCTGCACTCCCCCCCTCCCCACGTCCCTCTCCCCTGCTACCCAGCGCGTGGCGACCATGCTGGATAAGATCAAAGAGCTCACCCTGAGGGACCGCTTCGCCTTCTGCTCTGCCCCGGCCAACGCGCGAGACCCCACCGTCATGGCGGCTCTGATGCGGTTCGCCAGGGAGTATGCCGAGGGGAAGCCAGTGCCGCTGCTGGGGGGCAATGAGGAGGGGGGGGAAGGGGGAGAGGGCAGTGCGGGGCGGCCGTGGGGCAAGGAGGGGGGTGGGTCGGGTCAGTGGGTGGGCGGCACGTGGCGCAGGACTGCGGCGTCGGACCTGATGGTTCTCGAGACGAAGCACCAGGTGTGTTGGCGTCTGTGTGGGACAGGCTGACTTTGACAAGCACCTGGTGCCCGTGTGCCCTTTTTGAGTCTGCTCAAAGCTGAGTGGACTCAGCTCTCTCGCGCCTCAGAAGCTCACGTGGCGCAGGACTGCAGCTTCGGATCTCATGGCTCTGGAGACGAAGCACCAGGTGCGTGCTGAGAGCCTGTCAGTCTTCCGGTTGCCCATTATGAGGTGACTCAAGAGCTCATTGCCTCGATAGCTGCGATGTGTTTTGTTTTTTAGAATTCTCAAAAACAAAACACATGAGGGGATGTCTGTCTTCCGGTTGCCCGTTACGAGGTGACTCAAGAGTGCATTGCCGCGATAGCTGAGTCGACTCAAAGGATCACATGGCGCAGGAGTGCCTCCGGATCTGATGGCCCTGGAGACGAAGCACCAGGTGCGCTGGCGTCTGTGTATGACAGGCGGTCTGTGCCCGTGTGCTCATTTTGAGTCTGCTCAAAGCTTAGTGGACTGAGCTCTCTCTCTCGCCTCAATAGCTCACATGGCGCAGGAGTGCGGCTCCGGATCTCATGCTTCTGGAGACGAAGCACCAGGTGCATTGGCGACTGTCTGTGACAGGCTGTTCTTCTGCCGATTCTGAGTCTGCGCAATCGTGAGTGGACTCAGGTGTGTCTCGACTCACAAGCACACATGGTGCAGGAAGGAATGCGGCATCATAATGAGTCAACTTAGTGAGTCAACTCAAAGCTGGCTGTCTATCTAAAGGTGTGTGGTGAGAGCCTGGCTGTCTCGCTGCCGGCCATAATGAGTCAACTTAAAGCTGAGCTGAGCCGACAACTATTCCCCTACGTGAAGGTACACAAAATGCAGGTGTGCTGCTAATAATGTGCGTGTGTTGGCAGGGTTACTCCCTGCCAACCACAAGCCTTCATCTCTCTGAACAGGAACCTGTTCCTCTTCCCTGGCTTGCCCTTTTTTCCTCTTCCCTTTTTTTCATGCTCTTTATCGTTGCTGATTTTTTATCCTGCTCGTGCCGTCACCCCCCTGCTGGTTGCTTGATTTTATCCCTGGCCCTTGCCTTCACTTCACCCCCCTGCTCTTGCGTTCCAGGTGGCCTCGCTCTACCTCTGGCTCTCCTACCAGTTCCGCAAGGGCGCCTTCCCGGATGCTTCCCTCGCGACAGACAAGGCTCAGAAGGCAGCCAAGCAGCTCTCCACAGCTCTTCTCGAGGCTCGGACGCCAAACCTGGCCAGCAGCTTCGGCAAGCCAGGCTCGCCCAGAGGCAGGTACGGGCCGGGGCTGACGGACCTCCAGCAACAGAAGCTTTGGCATCTTGAGCAGGAGCGGCAGCGGCGGGAGGAGAGGAGGACACAGAGGCAGCCACAGGGGTTGGAATCAGCAGGAGACGGGGAGAAAGGGGGGGAGGAGGAGGAGGTGAGGCAGTTGTTTGCAAGTGCAAGGCTAAAGAAGTATGTGGGCAGGAGGCGAACCTCTAGGTTGGTGGAGCATGTGGAGGCAGTCGGTATTCAGGGTGAGGCGGGAGATCAGCCTGCCTCAGTTGCACCTGCGTGAGAGCCTTTTAGGGGGTGCACTGCTGAGCTCTGTAGCCTCACGTGGAATGCCGCTGGTAGCATCGCTAGTAGTCTTACTTGGAACGTTGCTTGTAGCATCGCTTGTAGTCTCACTTGGAACGTCGCTTGTAGCATCGCTTGTAGTCTCATGTGGAACGTTGCTATTAGTGTCAGTCGCCTCACACCGTGTCCTTCTACAAGGAGGTAGGCTCCCAGATCCTGTATTCTCATTGGTGCAAAAGCTTGTGTTTGTTAGGTGCAACCGCTGAACTATTAGCCCATGCAGAGCAAATGTGGTATCTGCAATCATTTACAAGAAATGTGGTATTCTTGTAGATAGAAGAATTAATTCAATTAGTGCTGCGGACATGCAAGGCGCATGCAAGTTATATCACATTAGCATTTGCTTGTTTTGCAACCTTTATAAAAACATCCTCTAAGGTGGAGTTTGTCAGTCCCCATGCTTGTATGTTCATGGACATCTTTGCTGCCTGGACTGCAGCGAATGCATCAGAGATCTTCACCTGCATTCATGCCATATCAGTTTATGGAGCGCATGACACATGACACAACACACACCGCAACGCAACAACAACAGGTCAGCAATGCTCAGGCAAAAAAGAAGCCTTTAACCTGAACGGCCAAAAGAGGCATGAGCCGAGTATGGACTGCATGGTAATGTGGCCATGGCAATGTGGCCATGGCAATGTGGCCATGGCAATGTGGCCATGGCAATGTGGCCATGGCCATGTGACCGATTTTCAAGTTGCACCAAACAGGCTCGGCTTGAACCACTCACATCTTCCACGGGCATCTCAAACTTTTGGGTGCCCGACAGGTTGTATATTCTGCTGGCGTTGATGGAGAGCGACAGAGCCAGCAGGGCAGCGCTGGCCTCTTGGTCGACGGGTGTGGTAACCGTGAAGATGTAACAGCCGCCATAACGTGCTGTCAGCTCCTGGGCACTGCCTATGCATGCAAACCTCCCCCGGACAAATATGCCCATGCGGTCACAGAGGGCCTCTGCCTCCTCCATGCTGTGGGCTGGAAGAAATGTTGGGAGAGAAGGAGGGAGCAAAGGAGGAATAGGAGAGGAGATGAGGAAAGTTGAGAGAGAAGATATGCCCGTGCGATTGCAGAGAGCCTCTGCGGTGGGTGTTGGGGAAGAAGGAGGAGGGGGGAGAGAAAGTTAAAGGGGGAGGTTGAAGGGGAGAGGAGGGAATATGCCCGTGCGATCACAGAGAGCCTCTGCCTCCTCCCTCCATGCTGTGGGCTGAAGTTGGGGAGAGACGAAAGAGAAAAGGGAGTGGTGAGCAGGAGAGAAGATGACTATGCCCATGCTCATGCTCGATCGCACAGGGCCTCTGCCCTCCATGCTGTGCGCTGAGGTTGGTGTTGGGGAAGAAGGAGGGGGGAGAGAAAGATAAAGGGGAAGTTGAAGGGGAGAGGAGGGAATATGCCCATGCTTATGCTCTATCGCACAGGGCCTCTGCCCTCCATGCTGTGCGCTGGAATGAGTGTTGGAGAGGAGGGAGGAGAGGAAGAAGGGGTGAGGGGATGAGGAAAGGTGAGAGAGAAGATGCCCGTGCAATTGCAGAAGGCCTCTGCCTCCTCCATGCTGTGCTGAAGGAACAATGGGGAATGGAAAAAGGAGAGGGAGGGAGAGTGTGAGGGGAAAGCACATGCAGATGCAGAGGCACAAGCACATGCATGTGCGGTCAGCACATGAGGCGTATGCTTCCTCCATAATGTAGATTAAAGAAGGTTTGCAAGATAAGGGTTATTAGCACGCACCTACACACTCACCTGTTGGCACAAGGCACAGTGCTTCTTAGCCCGCACATCACCATGCTCCCCAGCTGTGCATTCTCGACGAGGGCTCCAGCCCTCGACCTGGTTCATCCAGGCATCCCCGCACCCACACGTCCTCCCACCCATTCTCAAACCAACACACCCACCCACCCACCCACACAAACGGGCAACCCCTTTGAACCTCGCACAACCACTCACTTGTGAGCACGATGGCGCAGTGCTTCTTAGCCCGCTTCACCACACTCCACAGGTGCATCCTCGATGAAGGATCCAACCCCGTGCTGGGCTCGTCCATATACACAACAAGAGGGTCCCCGATAAGAGATATAGCGACGGAGAGGCGTCGCTTCATGCCGCCGCTGTACTGGTGCACGGGCTTGTCGGCCTCCGCCAGTAGGCGCACTCCTGAGAGGGATGCGCCCACTGCTGCTGCCAGTGCTGCCCCACACAGGTTCTTCAGCCGCCCGTAGAACAGCAGGTGCTCTCGGCCTGTCAGCTGCTCCCATAGGAGACTGGAAGGGGGAGGAGAGGAGGGGAGGGAGGGGGAGGGAAGGGGGAGGGGAGGAAAGGGAGGGATTGAGAGGGATAGCAATAAAGAGCCCTTCCTCCGTGCCGCCGCTGTACTGGTGCACGGGCTTGTCGACCTCTTTGAGCAGGTGCAACCCCGAGAGGGAGCGTCGACTGCTGCTGCTAGTTCTGCTCCTCGCAGGTTCTTCAGACGCCCGTAGAATAGCAGGTGCTCGCGGCCTGTCAGATGCTCCCGTAGGAGACTGGAAGGGGGAGGAGAGGAGGGGAGGGAAGGGGAGGGAAGGGGAGGAGAGGGGAGGGAGTGCAGGGAGGAAAAGAGGAGATGTGGAAAGGAGAATAGATAGAGGGGGCAGGAAAGAAAGAAGGGGCAGGAAAGAAAGAAGGGGCAGGGCAAAGGATGCTGAGGGCTGGATCTTGTGTCTGTCGGATGGGGAAGGAGGGGAGGATAGGGAACGAAGCAGCAGCACAGAGAGGGAGGAACGAAGCAGAGGGATAAAACGAGGGGAAGAGGTGAGGTGGGGGAGGGACGGAGGGAGGCGACAGGAGGTTGGATTGGAGGACTCACTCGTGCTGGGGGCACACCCCCATGAGCGCATACACGTCCTCCATGTCCGTGTGTACATCCATCCCGTCCACCTGCACCACCCCATGGGTGCTGGCAAGCTATATGGGTATCCCAGAGGGGGAGAGAGGGACACTCACTCGTGCTGCGGGCACGCCCCCATGAGCGCATAAACGTCCTCCATGTCCGTGTGTACATCCATCCGTGCCACACACACCGCCCCATGCCTGGCCTTGAGAAACCCCATCATCATCATCAGCGCCGTGCTCTTGCCCGCCCCGTTCGGCCCCAGCATGCCGTATAGAGAGGGAGAGGGACCGCTTGAGAAGGGGGGGCCAGCATGGTATACAGGGAGGGAGAGGGGGTGGGGAGACTCACTCGTGCTGCGGGCACACCCCCATGAGCGCATACACGTCCTCCATGTCGTCGCTAATGTCCATGCCTTCGACGTGCACCGCCCCACCGGTCGCCTTCAGAAACCCCATCATCATCCTCAGCGCCGTCGTCTTGCCCGCCCCGTTCGGCCCCAGCATGCCAAAGCACTCCCCCCGTGCCACCCCCAGCCACATGCCCGCCACGGCCTCTTTTGGCCCGCTGCCGTCCCTGCTGGGGTACACCTTGGAGAGACCGGCACACAGAATGCTGGGGTGCTGGTGGGCGGACAGGTCGGCGTTCCCCAAGTGGTGTTGCACCTTTCGTTTCTGTAGGAGTTAGGGGGAGACAAAGGGTAGGGAGGAAGGGGGGGGTCAAGAGAGTGTTGGGCCCCAGCGTGCCGAAGCACTCCCCCCGTGCCACGCAAAGCCACATGCCCGCCACGGCCTCCTTGGGCCCGCTGCCGTCCCTGCTGGGATACACCTTGTGCGGTGCTCTGGAATGGGGCAGCTTGCAGGTGGTAGTGCCCCTTAGGCTTCTGAGGAGGGGAGGGGCAAACAGGGGGTGGGAGGGGTGTTGGTGCGCGGGGGGGTCGGGTGCAGCGTTTTGGATGGGGGCCGCTTGCAGGAGGTGCTGCACCTTGCATGGTGTAAAATAGACGTGTGTTTTGAGATGCCTCAAACCACCGCACTTCAGAATTATGGAGGCCGGAGTGGTACGTGGAGATTTGGAGGGATGGAGGGTGGTAGAGTTGGCAGAGGTGGCATGGTGGGTGTTGTGAGCTGAAGGGGGGTCTCCTATTTGAGGCGCCTAAAGAAAAGAGCTGATCCCAAATGCGCCACTGGCGCACCCCAGCAACGCACCTCAAGCTCGACGTCAAATCCACCCAAATGGCCTTTCGCCTTGTCTTCTTTCTCTCCCCCCATGCCTGCAACTCCCCCCCTTCCTGCAACACCCTCCATGTCTCCTCCCCCCCACTCCGCCTTACCCCCTTCCCCCACTGCTCCCCCCCCCTCCCTCTCTTCCCCCCTCCAGGAACCTTCCTGGAAGGCTGCATGCACCCGAGCGTCCCCAATACCGCAGGTTCCTAGAACCTTCTTGAGCGAGCCAAGAAGCTTCCTGCAGCCGCTTTTGCAGCCGCGGAGGAAGAAGAGAGGATGCTTCCTGACGCCGCTCCCTGCTGAAACCACCTGATCCAGGTATATCGCCAGGAGGAGGAACACCAGCCACTCGACGGCCAGGATCGCGACAGCTGTCAGGTAGCCATTGGTCGCGGCGGTGACCCAGGTGAGGGTGCCTTGGGACGCCTGGTAGGAGCCGATGAGGGACGACTGGGTGAGCTCGTAGACGCCGTGATAAAGGGCGAAGGCTGGGAATAGCTGCAGAGCTGTTGTGAATGTGGCTGGTGGCGGGGGGTAGGGGGAGAGAGAGAGGGGGCGGGAGGGGGGTGAGTGGTTGGGTGCCTTGGGACGCCTGGCAGGAGCCGATGAGCGACGACTGGGTGAGCTCGTAGACCCCGTGGTAGAGAGCAAAGGCTGGGAATAGCTGCAGGGCCGTGGTGAACGTGGCTGGTTGCAGGGAGGTAAGGGGAAAGTGGGGGGGGTGGGGGGGGGGGGGGGACGAGCGGTAGAGGGAAAAGGGGGGAGGGGAAAGGGAGGGAGGAAGGAGAAGAGAGTGAGTGGGCGGTGGCCCAGGTGAGGGTGCCTTGGGACGCCTGGCAGGAGCCAATGAGCGACGACTGGGTGAGCTCGTAGACCCCGTGGTAGAGAGCAAAGGCTGGGAAGAGCTGCAGGGCCATGGTGAACTTGGCTGGTGGGGAAGAGGGTCGGGCGGAGGAGGTCGAAAGGGGGAATGAAGGCGCTGCTGGGTCAACTGGTACACACCGTGGCACCGCGCAGGAGACACCGTGGCACCGCCCAGGAGACACCGTGGCACCGCGCAGGAGACACCGTGGCACCGCGCAGGAGACACCGTGGCACCGCGCAGGAGACACCGTGGCACCGCCCAGGAGACACCGTGGCACCGCCCAGGAGCAGCAGGCTGCCGTGACTTTTGAATCGACTCAATGGGGCGGGGAAGCAGGCTGGCTGCAGAAGAGCACACGGCGCACTGCGGCAGGAGCACACCCACAGGGACATCACCACTGTGAGCGGTGGGGGTGGCGTTGTCCCTGCGGCTGTGCTCCTGCCAGGCGATTTTTGAGGCGCCTCAAAAAAGCTGCGCTGCGGGGAAGCAGGCTGGAAGCGATAGAGAAATCGGCCTAGGAGCGCCAAGGCAAAGGCGGTGGAGCAAACATGCCACTCACTTGAAAAGGAGCCTGATTCGAGGAGGTTCCGGTAGAGAAACTGCCCCAATAGATTGGTGGCAGAGACGTAGAAGTAGGTGGCGATGGTGGCATGCCAGGGGAAAGGAGGCCTCGATACTCACTTGAGAAGGAGCCTGATTCGAGGAGGTTCCGGTACAGAAACTGCCCCAATAGAGCGGTGGCGAACACGTAGAAGTAGGTTGCGATGGTGGCGGGGCGCGTGTGCGAGAAACACGTAGAGGCGAGCATGGCGAGGGCGATCTGAGTGTTGGCGTACACCAGGTACAGCAGAAACTGCAGCCCGTAGGGGTTAAGAGTGAAGGACTTCAACTCTGCAGCAATGGGGAGAGGGGAGGTGGGAGGGGGGAGGGAAGAGGGAAGAGGGCAATGAGGGGTAGGGGGATGTGCGAGAGAGAGGCGCATGGCGATTGGGATCGGTGTGGGTCGGTCTGAGTGTTGGCTTTAACGAGGTAGGACCTGCTGACCTGTAGGGGATTTTTGAGTCGACTAAAAAATCGACCCTTTCCCCATCCCAGTATCATCACCTGCCGCAGCAGCTGCAGCAACTACAAGAAAACTGCTTCTGAGCCGACTCAAAAGCAAACACAGCAGCAGCAACTCACGGATGAGCGAGCCGAAGGCGACGAGGAAGAAAATGTAGGCGAGCGACAGCAGGAGGAAGTAGGCGCACGCCACGAGCCAGTAGGGTCCGTCCTTTAGCCCGTGCATGCGCATCATCACCCGCAGCTGCTGCTCCTTCTCGCACACCTACCTCGAGAGAGGCGCCCCACACCTAGACCCTCACACACCGCACCAGGCCCAACCTAGACCCTCATCACGTGCAGCAGCAACAGCTGCAGCAGACGCAACCAGACACCCCGGCAACTCACGAATGGGGGAGCCAAATGCGACGAGAAAGAGGATATAGGCGAGGGAGAGCAGGAGGAGAGGAAGTGGATGTACGCACCTCACACTTAGCAACTTACGAATGAGTGAGCCGAATGCGACGAGAAAGAAGATGTAGGCGAGGGAGAGCAGGAGGAAGTAGATGTACGCCACGAGCCAGTAGGGTCCGTCCTTTAGCCCATGCATCCTCATCATCACCCGCAGCTGCTGCTCCTTCTCGTATACCAGCGCCACCGCCATCACGGGTAGCAGCAGCTGCAGCAGCCACATGTAGAACAGCGGGCCGAGAAGGGACGCGAAGTCCACGCCAAGTGTGGTTTCCACTTTGGGAAAGTCTTTCACAAATAGCAAAGGAATCTCCGCTGCTGCTGCTGCTGCTGCTGCTTCTGCTGCACCAGCGTCACCAGCGGCAGCACTATTAGACCCACCCGCGCTATAGAAGGTCTTGACAAAGGCGTTGGAGGCGAGGTTCAGGAGGCGGGCGAAGCGGAGGAGAGTGGCGGGAGCGCCGCCAATGCTGGCGTTGTTATAGGAGGAATTGTACTGAACCACGGGGTTATAACGAGTCGGATTCGAGTCCTGGAAGTCGAAGGCTGCTGTGTACGCGTTAGTGGCCTGCTCCGGATTCGCCTGGTAGTAGCCTGCGTACAGTTCGGTGTCGATATCCGCTTGGGCGTCCCTCCATACGGTGTCTACAGCAACACACTCCACTCCTGTCACGATAAACAGAGATCAGGGGGAGGGGAGGGGATGGGAGGGGAAGGGGAACGAACGGGAGAGGACCACATTGAGTACATTTTGGTATCGAGATCTGCTTGGGTGTCCGTTTGGTACGGTGTCTACTGCAACACACTCCACTCTTGTTAAGATTAACAGAGAGCAGGAAGAGGGGAGGGGAGGGGAGGGGAGGGGAGGGGAGGGAATGCGAGAGTACTACGTTGAGTTCACGCTTGGATGTCCCTCTGTGTCGACTTCCGTGCACTCCACTCCTGGTGTGACCAGCAGAAAGCCAAGGGGGGGGGAGGAGGAGGAGGGGGGGGGGGGGGGGGTGGGAGATTTGGGGAGGAGATGGGGGGAAGTGATGGGGGAAGGAGATGGGGGGAAGTGATGGGGGAAGGAGATGGGGGGAAGTGATGGGGGAAGGAGATGGGGGGAAGTGATGGGGGAAGGAGATGGGGGCGGTGATTGGAGAAGTGAGTGGGAAGGAGAAATGGGGAGGGAGAGGGGGGATGCGTGACACATCCTCGAGGGTAAGCGCGCCGGAGTGTGATTTTGCTGCTCTAAGTCTAACGTCTACCAGAATCGCGACTAACGAATGGGGAACGTGGCATCAGCAACCGTGGTGTTGACCGTGAAGCCCCTCATGTGCCCGCGGCACTGCGGTAGCGGCAGCAGCAGCAGCAGCAGCGACGAGTTTCGCCTGAGGTGACTCTTGAGCCGTTTAACAACCTACCACAGGCGCGGCTTACAAATGCTGAGATGCACGCGATTTTTGAGTGATTTTTGAGTGATTTTTGAGTGATTTTTGAGTGATTTTGGAGTGATTTTTGAGGGATTTTTGAGTGATTTTTGAGTGATTTTTGAGTGATTTTTGAGTGGTTTTTGAGTGGTTTTTGAGTGATTTTTGAGTGATTTTTGAGTCGACTCAAAAATCAACCTACCACAGGCGCGGCTTACAGATGCTGAGATGCACGCTTCGGAGCCACACTTACGAATGGGTGACGTGGCATCAGCGATGGTGGTCTTAACCGTGAAGCCCCTCGTGTTCCCGCGGCACTGCGGCAGCAGCAGCAGCAGCAGCAGCAGCAGCAGCAGCAGCAGCAGCAGCAGCAGCAGCAGCAGCAGCAGCAGCAGCAGCAGCAGCAGCAGCAGCAGCAGCAGCAGCAACAAGAGAGGTTGACTCTAGGGTCGACTGTACACCTACCAGGCACGCGCACGCTTACAGATAGGGAACGTGGCATCAGCGATGGTGGTATTAACCGTGAAGCCCCTCATATGCCCCGCGGCACTGCGGCAGCAGCAGCAGCAGCAGCAGCAGTAGCAGCGGTGCATTTGAGGGTTGTTTCCCTTGACTCAAAAACACCCTGCCAGCCCACGAGCGACACCGCCTCTTCTAGCCGTAGGCTCATTCTAAGTCAACTGAAACAACTCTCGCGTCCACTATAACCTTTCACAAGCGCGACTTACGAATAGGAAACGTGACGCCGTCAGCAACCGTGGCGTTGACGGTAAACCCCTTCATCCCGCCGCGGCACTGCGGCAGCAGCAGCAGCAGCGACGAGTTCGCCTGCCACCCCACGGGCGACACCGCCTCTTCCAGCAGCAGGCTCCATCCGGGGTAGGTCGCCGTGCCGGGCGTCACCTGGGACAGGTCGTATACGTACGACGGCACCCAGTACCCTGCTGTCGTGTTGCGGTTCTGGCTGTGCTGGCTGTGGTGGCGACTAGGCGTTTTCCACTCCTTGATTAATCTTCGCACTCCCAGTGGGTTATGTTTGCCCTCGTCTAAGTTGCTACTCCTGCTGCTTCTTTCGCTGCTACTGCCGCGTCTGCTTTCAATGCTGCTGCCGCCGCCGCTGCTCATGCTAATCTGCTGCATAAAGCGAGCGCCTCTCCTACTCTGTTCTTTCTGCATCCGCGATATTGCCTTCTCCACTCCCGCTATAGTCACGATCTCTTTCAGTCGTCTCCGCACGTCATGCTTCGCCACCTGACGCCTCCCCCTTCTCCTCCCCTTGCTGGCCTGCCCCTTCCCCCTAACGGCTTGCGCCACTCCCGCAACAGTCCCGCTTCCCCCCATGCTGTGCACCTCCCCCAGCCCAGGCGCGGAGAGAGTCTCCGCCACCCCCCCTGATTGCCCGCGGAGCAACGGCGGCTTTGTTCCGCCCACGGGGACGGACACGGGGGGAGCTGAGACTGAGGCGGCTGGCGGAGGGGAGTCGGCGCGAGATGCGGCGGAAGCCACGGCGTCGCTCGTGGTAAGGAAAGTGGTCGGATGTTTCCTGACGGATCTAAGTGACGTGTAGAGCACGTCAGGCACGAGGAAGGACGCCATTGCTGACGTGGATTTGGGGAGGGAGGGGGGTGGGGGGATTGGGGAGGAGGGGGGGAAAACTCGGCAGGTAAGGGAAAGGGGGAGGCGGAACGGAAACCATTTACCATCAGAACTAAGGCAATTTAATAGATACTAAAAGAAGCTCACCATCAGAACTAAGGCAATTTAATAGATACTAAAAGAAGCTCACCATCAGAACTAAGGCAATTTAATAGATACTAAAAGAAGCTCACCATCTGCGGCGGTTCGATTGTGTCCCGTGTACAGTATCACCGTCGGGCAGCCCTGGCCACTCTCAGACCGACACGTGTCCGGCGGAAGCCCCAACGAAGCTCCTACCCCTGGCGGCGCAGCGGCTCTGGCCGCGTTTGCCGGTACTTGGACAAAAGCCGGCCACATGGGCGGCTCGGGGACAGCGCAGAAGGGCATCTGCGACGCGGTGGAGTACTCCGGACCGCAGGTGATTCTCTCAGGTGGGCAGGTGCCGTCAGGTAGTCTAAACTCCTTGGGGCAGCCGCATCCGCATTTGTAGGTGGACATCATAACGTTATTAAGCAGGATTTGGAGCGCTTGTAGGAAGAGGCATAAAAGGGCCGGGAGGCTGACGACGCATGCGTTCGTGCCCCAGTTGCGACGCTGGTATGCGACGTTCTTGCGAAAGAGGGCATCCGCCTGCGTGTAGAACGACGTGCGAAGCCCGCGACGCCGCCGCTCCGCTGACGGCGAAAGCGGATTGTCGCTCGGCTCGTCGCACGAGCTCGCAGAAAGCTCGCTCGGGTCGTCATTGCCCTCAGGCGAAATGGTTCTGGAATCGTTATTTCTGGGGGTGTCAGCACCGAGGGGAGGAGATCCTGGAGGGGATGCGGAAGAGGAGGAGGTATATTGGGAGGCTGGGGGACTAATCGAGGATTCGTTATAAGCGCTACCCGACTCGCTATTGTCGTACAAGTCCTCTGAACTGGGGCTTTGATAGTCCATTCCTAGAAAACGACCCAGTGGCATGCAGTTGTCGACGCTACGGAATGATTTATTCAGAAACAACCAGTGACGGGTCGCTCAGAGTCCTATGTCGCTCCCGTTAGCGCAAAAATCGCAGCATCTTATTCAGAGTACAACAAGCAAGTGGATTCTGTCCTGAGAAGCATTGCCCGACAGAAAATCGGGAAAGGGCAATGCGGAGCTAGACAACAGCAGCTATCGGAAAGTGGAGTTGCAATGGCGCTGAACGCGATAGGGCTCCTAGTTGGTAGGTTCCGAACGAGACGTGTCTGTTGACGTGTTTGGTTGGCCAACGCATGTCGTCAGCATTAGGAGGAGAAGGCATCCGAAAACGGAGATGCGCAAGGGGGGAATGTGGGATAGAAATTTGCGCCTCCAGTATCCTTGATGCAAAAAACGGTCCCTCTCCCTTGACTCGAAATTTGCGCCTTTGATGGATCATTGGGGGAGGGAAGCAAAATGTTGGGGGCTAGCGAATCGCAAATTGCGCCTTGGGGAATTTCGTCAGATGCGGCTCGGCTCTGTCACTGAATCTGCTCTCCGCAATTGGCGGTAGGTGTAAACTCGCCCGGCTCGCCCTTTCGTTGTGATGTTTTGCGAGAAGTGGGATTCGTCCGATGTGGTCGTGCGAATCACAAAAATGTTTTCGTGACGCACGACTTGTGGTGTCGTTTCGTTGGGCATTTACGCCAGAAAACAATTTTAGGGGTAGAAAACAACGCAAAGTCAGCGTCGATTTTCGAATTCTACGGAGCGATGAGCAGCATCCAGAGTTCGCGACCTTTCACAAGCCTGACCGCAGACTGGTCGACCCGCCAGAAATGTCGGTGCAACGGTTGAAATTGCTGAAACAACATCACAGCACAGCTGCACACCAAAGCATACGCTATGAGCATCCTTTCCTTATCAAGCAAAAACTGCCACATTATTGATTTATTGGCACAAACACAAAACAAGCTTGGATGCAACAGCACCATGGCAAATCAACACAATAGCCCTTATATGCCGCGATGTGATGCATGTCTCACACACCACATAACACTCAACATCTCCTGGGCACACCACCAAACCACACATGACCCACCCACCCACCCTTAACTTTTAACTCATTACAGCAATTGCCCTCCTCTCCTCCTGTACTCTCTTCATGGGCTTCTCAAACAACACATACAGCAACAAAGCCCCTCGTTCACCACTCCCCCCTCCACTCCCTCCACTCCCACCAACCCCCATCTTCGTCCACTTCACCTTCTTCCACTGCGCCACCTCGGCAACAGCCAGGATCTTCCGGATCAACGGCCGGGAGAAAGGCACCCTTTCCAGCCACACCAACCCCCCGGGGCGAAGCACCCGGTCCCAGTCATACAGAGCAGACTCCAGGACGGGCGGATGGGCAAGCACCGACGGCCAAAAAGCACAGTGGATCAAACCCAAGGATGAGTCAAACAGGGGGAGGCGGGCGGTGAGAGGGAGGTGGAGCGCTGGGAGCGCTCTGTGCGCCAGCACTTCCATAACAGGGGCGCCGTGGTTGGACGCAGTGGTAACCACCGTAACGCCCCGCTCGGCCATGAGTGCTGCGAAATTCCCCGTGCCCCCTCCGATGTCTAGCCCGACTCTGATGCCCCCAGGTGCTTTCACTGCCAGCACCGCATCCATCCCCCATCCCAATGATACCGCCTCCGCTGCTGCTCCACCTCCGGCTGCATTTGCCCCTGCTATAGCAGCAGCACCAGCTGCCGCCCCCCCTGGTGCTGTTGGCGTTGTCTGTGCATTAAACCCTGAGCCCTCCGCATATCCACCGTATCCCCCGTAAGCGCCGCGCGCACCCCTCTCCCTGGCCCTCGACAAATTGAAACACGAAACCAAACATCCGCGCACTGCAGGAGGCAATCCCAGCCGTCCAATCTCCAAGCCCTCCGCCTCTGCCCCTTCCAACCCCCCCACCGTCCCCTCCCCTGCCGCGTTCCCCCTCCTCTCATCCCCAACCCCTCCGCCACCACCCCCACCCCACGCCCTCTCGGCGTCGTCCTCCTGCTGCATGAGGCACTCGAAGTCCCGGCACGGGCCGTACATCTCCCACGCGATGCGCTTCGCCTCGGGATTGCTCCACCTCGCGGCTTCCCGCGACGGCGGCTCAACAGATTCCTCCCCCCCTGAACCGTCCGCGGCACCCCCCGAATCCGCCGCTCCTGCAGCGCCGGCAGCGCCAACAGCGCCAGCGCCAGCGGCGGCGGCGGTAGTGGCGGCGGTGGAGGGTGAGAGGAAAGGGGAGTCGGAGAAGCAGGCGCGGCGAGGGAGGTCGAGGCATCGAGCGTCGAAGAGCAGAGCCTCGTCGAGTCTGGAGCTCGGAGGGAGCTCCCACGACTGGCGCTGCAACCCGGACTGCTGATCCGACTGCTGCTGCGCCTGCTGCTGCTGCTGCTGCTGCTGCTGGTGAGATTCTCCCTGGAGTTGCTGCTGCGGCGGCTGCGAAATCCGCGGGTTGTGGGGCTGGTTACCACTTCCAGGAGCGCCGTAACCAACGCTAGCCCCGCTGGTAACAGAGACGGTTACAGGCGGGCACGTGCTGCCGGGAGTGTAGTTGTAATAGGCGGACATTTGGGCCGCACTGGCGCCGCAGTGCTGCCACGCGGACCACGTGCGCCCGCGATACGCGTTATTGAGCTGCTTCTTTAAGTCGAAACTCTCCGCTCTACAGTGAAACAGCTGCTTTCTTAAAAACTCGAGGTCGCCGATAAACACGTCGCACGCGCGATGGTCCTGCTCGTGAACGTACACCAGCAGCAGCACCAACAGCAGCAGCAACCCCAAATCCACCGCGCTAAGTGAAAAGCTTAAAATCCCTCCCCGTCCGCTCTTACCGCCGGCCCCGTGCCCGCCGGTTGCCCAGGGATTCCGCCTGCGCTTATTAAACCGCGTGGCATACCACGCGGATGTTGGGGTGCCGTACTTCCATCTAGAGAGCACCTCAGGGTCGGCTGGACTATCATCGTCGTCTTCCAGCGTATCGTCCACCACTCGAGGTTTCTCCCGGCCCGCATCTCCCGCCGCATCTCTCGCCGCACCTCCCGTCGCGTTTCCCGCCGCACCCCCCGCTGTCCTGTCCCCGCCTGCGGACGAGGTCGCGGGCTGCCGGCCCCACTCCCTCTCCTTATTCCAATCGCGGCCCATGTCTCTCGCTACCTCTCTCGTCCAGTCCGCACCTCGGCTCTTCCCATGGTGCGACCGCGAGGACGGCGCGCCCTCGGCCTCTCTATCCGAGTCCTTATCGTCCTTCTCTCCGCTTCTTACGCTAAGCTCTATGGCGCCGGACGCGGTGACTCTTCCCCCACCGCCACCGCCGCCGGCGCCGCCGATGCCGGCGCTTCCCCCGGTGCCGGCGGCTCCACCCCCGGATGCCCTGCTGTGGTCGAGGTCGTCCTCGGCGTTCGCGAATTGCTGCACGAACGTCGCGCCGTACGTCTGCGAAGTTTCGCGATTTCGCAGCATCGCTTCAGCCTGACCTAGCCAACCCCTTCCGTTCAGGTTGCTTCAAGACGCCACACGGAAAACAGCTTCAACGAAAAAAAAAAATCACCGCCAGGAGACCTCTATCTCGTTGATAAAAGAGCAGAATTCCCAGTCCAGTTACACCTTACAAAGCCGCACGGCCTAACTCGGAAGCAGCAATCTTTGTACCTACGGAACGACCTCCGTCCCGTCCCGGCTCAAGGGACAAAACGCCTGAAACAAAAGCCTTGTAGGGAATTGAACGAAAGAGCCAGGGTACAAGCATCAATCACCTGGGAGCTGATGAGGAAAGAAGCGGAGGCGTGGAGGAATGGGATGGGTTTGAAGGGATAGGGCAACGATTATTACAGGAGAGGTACGGAGTTGAACATGGAGGGGGGAGAGAGGGACAAGTGGAGATAGGGGGAAAGATAGAGATATACAGCAGAGAGGAGAGAAAGGAGGGAGGAAAAGACTGGAAGAGTGATAGAGTGGTGGAAAGAGAGTGAGAGCGGTGCAAAAGATGGGAGAGCGGTGGAGACAACAGGGAGAGAGGAGGGCGGTGAGAGGAAAGCGGGAGGGGAGAAGTTGCTGTCAGCCTTGCCACGAAGGAAAACACTGCATCTGGCGTTGCAGACGAACGGGCAGACGAACGCAACATTTCGAGCATCTGAAGTGTTTTTGGGATGGGGGTTTCGCCCGCCACAGCTGGACCGCACGCACCATCGAGATTGGGTTCAGCCCTCTCACGGGCAGTTCAAGAAAAGTTTTTGCTGGGTTGGAGGTTTGGCGGGAGAAGTTTCCAGCCCTTACGACTGCGAGCAATTCCCAAGATGGCGGCTGAGTCGCCAAGACCATCCCTGCTGGCGCGACGGGCTTGGGTGGATTGCTGACGTGGGAACGTGGAACGGGCGTTTCGGATTGGAGGATGTGACAGTGCGCTACCAGCGAATTGTGACTTCGGGTGCCACGAACGTGCAGATAGGAAATGTTGCTCGTTGTTCCGTTGTACAAAACACGGACAAGACCAGAGTTCTAACTGATTACAGTCTTGCAATTAGTCGTCTATAATTACGCTATTAGTTGAAGTTCAATTATACAAGCAATAGCCCCTCTTACCTCCATGAAATTGCATGAAACCCGGAGAATACGCAGCTGTATGCAGAACTACAGCATTCTCCTGTAACCCAGCAAGGTTTCCTAACAAGAAAACCAGATCCCTATCGACAGCATCCACAAATCTTAGACCAAAACCCCTGATTCTCTCCACTCTTCGCCCCCCACTCTGCAGCCACAGCACCTGCAGCAGTCTCAGCCGACGCAGCCCTCTGCTCCGAAAACCTTGAAATCCTCAACGTTCCGCTGTCATCCTGCTGCCAGCTAACATTTATCAAGCTCCCCTGGGGGAATTCCTCAGTGGGAGGCAGGGAAACAAGCTCAGCACCCACAGGCACCTGAACCGACAACCCGTTGGGAAGCACAATGTCTTCGAACCGGCCTTCCGCCTGCGCGGTTTCTAGCTCCGCCTGGCGTGCAATGTTGAGGAAGACCTCCTCGAGGGTGGAGAGGGAGAGCTGGGTGTCACTGATGCCCAGCTCCTTGCTGCAGTCATTCAGATCCTTGAAAAAGGCCTGCAAAGGGAAAACGGCAGGGATGTATTAAGAGCAGAGAGGAACGATATTGAGGATGACCTCCTCGAGGGTGGAGAGGGAGAGCTGGTTGTCACTGAGGAAAGAGGAAAGAGGAAGGAGTAGAGGACCAAACAGGAGGGTCATACGCAAGCATGGCCAGTGCATAGGGCTGGATGGATGAATAGATAACAAACACTTGGCAGGGCAGATACATGGGAGCATAAGTTGTACGTTGCACAGTGTGTGCAACACATGATCCTAGCTAGTGTAATGAGTTGATTTTTTAGTCGACTAAAAATTTTTAAGTGTGTGCAACACATGATCCTAGCTAGTGCATGATGCATGGGTGAATGGTGCACAGCAACAGTATAATATTCCCACACGGTGAAGGCGGGCTGAGTGCATTCAGGCGGGCTTACAGTGAGTTGCGGCTCCCTGTCTCGTGGCACGAGGAACTTGACGTATCCCTTGGACTCATCTGATGCCTCCACGTCCAGCTTCTGTTGGTGAAGACGAGAGGGGAGGGGAGGGAACGGGGATGGGGAGACGGAAACGGATTCGACATATCCCTTGGACTCATCTGATGCCTCCACGTCCAGCTTCTGCCAGATGGGGATGGGGAGGGGGAGGGGGAAAAAACAGAGATTTCTTCAGTCAGTGAAAAGTGAAGGGGTGAGAAGGAGGCAAGGCAGTCAGTGTTTTGGTGAGACACTCGGTGTCTCTTTTGATGTCTCTTTTGGTGTCTCTTTGGTGTCTCTTTTTCCAAGTGTTGTGTTAAATATCCTTAACACTTGGAAAAAGAGACACGCTGGCCAGCATTGCACAGCAGGTTAGACCCTCCCATGGCACCAATCCCCACATCGGGCTGGCACCAAACCGGAATGTGAGGTGCATGCATGTGCCGATGCCCTGATGTCCACTCCACTCACTCACCTCTTTCAAGTACGCCTTCACAGCAGCAGCCTTCTCTGCTACAGCCGCCTCAGCTGCTGCCTGCACCCCTCCCCAGCGCCAAACCGGCTCTTGGGGTGGATGGATCAACGTGCATGCCAGTGCCCTACTCTGACGCCCTACTCTGACGCCCTACTCTGACGCCCTGCTCTAGTGCCCTTCCCCTCACCTCTTTGAAGTACGCCTTCACAGCAGCAGCCTTCTCAGCCACAGCAGCCTTGGCCGCCGCCTCCGCCTGCAGATCCACTGCTGACGCCACCGACGCGCCCCGGGCGCCGATGCCCACCGTGATGATGAACCCGGCGCCGAACCGGTTCTTCAGGTGGATGGACGTGCCAATGCAGCGCAGCCGGCCCCGCGCCATGATGGCGATGCGGTCCCCGAGAATGTCGGCTTCCTCCATGGAGTGGGTGGTGAGGACTATGGCCCGCCCACGCTTGGCGCGCTCCACGATGTCCCACACGTGGCGGCGCGAGACAGGGTCCATGCCGGTGGTCTGATATGGGAGTGCACAGAGAGGGAAGGGATGGGAGAAAGGGAGTGCGGAGAAACAGGATGGTGGGAAGAAGTCAGCCGTGGATGGATGTGCCGATGGAGCGGAAGCGGCCCCGCGCCATGATGGCAATGCGGTCGCCAAGGATGTCGGCTTCCTCCATGGAGTGGGTCGTGAGGACTATGGCCCGGCCGCGTTTTGCGCGCTCCACGATGTCCCACACGTGGCGGCGCGAGACAGGGTCCATACCCGTGGTCTGATATGGGAGTAGAGCACACACGGACGGAAATAGGCAGTGCGGAGAAACAGGCAGACCCTTGGATTGAATGCCCTGGATCACACTTGTATAAACTTGTATGAATCAACCCCAGATCCTAGTCGCCCAAGCTCCCAGCTCACCAGCTCATCCAGGTACACAATCGTCAGATCCCCTATGAGGGCCATGGCAACAGAGAGTCTGTTTTTGAGGCGCCTCAGAAATAGACTCCCCAGCTCACCGGCTCATCCAGGTACACAATCGTAGGATCCCCTATGAGGGCCATGGCAACAGAGAGCCCACTGTACCGGCCCTCTTCATGGCGCCGCTGTACCCACTCGTGTGCTTGGCCTGCTGCACTCATTTACCCACTTTGGCATCGACTCAAACACCCAACTCCGAGACCTGAGTCACCTGACTTCACCCAACTCCACTCCCCACACTCTCCGGCTCATCCAGGTACACAATCTTCGGATCCCCGATCAGCGCCACAGCCACGGACAGCCGCCTCTTCATGCCACCGCTGTACCCACTCGTGCGCATGGCCTGCTGGACTTTGGCACCGAACTCAACACCCAACCCCCAGACCTGACTTCACCCAAAACTTATCCCCCAGCTCACCGGCTCATCCAGGTAAACGATCTTGGGGTCGCCTATCAGCGCCACAGCAACAGAGAGCCGCCTCTTCATGCCACCGCTGTACCCGCTGGTGCGCATGGCCTGCGCCTCGGTGAGGCGCACCTCCTCCAGCAGCGAGGCCACCTCCTTGGCCGTGTGCACAGGGGGCAGCCCCTTGATGCGCGCGAAGAGGAAGAGGTGCTCCGAGCCCGACAGGCGGTCCCAGAGGATGTCGAACTGCGGACACACGCCCATGATGCCGCGGATGTGCGCCATGCTGCCTGGATCGCGGATAGAGGAGCCGAGGACGAGCGCTGGAGGGGAATGAGGACACGAGAGAGAAGGGGGGGGGGGACGAGGGGAATGAGAGGATGTCGAACTGCGGACACATGCCCATGCTGCCGCGGATGTGCGCCATGCTGCCTGGATCGCGGATGGACGAGCCGAGCACCAGGGCTGGAGGGCGGGTGAGAGGGTGATTGGGGGAAGAGAGGGGTGAGGAAGAGAGGAAGCACAAGGGTACTTCAGAGGGTGTCGAACAGCGGACATACGCTCATGATTCCGCGGCCGCCTGGATTCCTGATTGCGGAGCCGAGCAGCAGGGCTGATTTGTGGGAGGGGGAGAGGGGGGTGGTCGGGGAGGAAGAAGGGCGGGGGGCGGGGGGCGGCGGGGTGGGGGGGGGTGTGAAGGAGAGCAGGAGGGGTTGGTGGAAATGGATGGTTCCAGTGAGGCAGTGAATGGCTGTGGTCTTACTCATGCGATTGAACAGGGATGCTGTTTCTAAGAATTATGTTCATAAATTATGTATCAGAGAGCTTACCATCGCCAGCAGTGGTAGGGATGATGCCTGTGAGGCAGTGGATGGTGGTGCTCTTGCCCGCGCCGTTGGGCCCCAGCAGGCAGAACAGCTTGTCCTGCTCCACGCCGAACCACGACCCCTTCACCGCATGAAACGCCGGTGTCTTCTTCACCACGCAGCACCGTTTCATCTCCGTACGCCCTGGGAACGTCTTCACTAGGCCTCGAACGGACACTGCTACGCCAGCACCCTCCCCCCCTGCTGCTGCCGCTGCTTTGACCCTCTCCTCCTCTTCGATGACGTCAGCGTCGTCAGCGCGGTCATTCGGGTCCAGCTCAGGAATCTTCCTGCCGAAGCACGAGAAGATTCCTCCGTGTTCCGAGCCTGCCGAGGCCCGGCCGGTCCAGAAGGAAGGGTACAGGAAGAAGAAGCAGGGCTTACGGATGCCGTTCACGTCCGGGAGAACGTTGTCCAAATAGACGGCCAGGATGAAGTAGACGATCGTGAGGACGATCAGCCAGATGTAGATACCCCCCATCGTCATCACACAGTCCGGGCTTCGCGGGGAGCACTGGCCAATCCCGGACAGCTTGATCCCGGGATCTTCGGGGGTGGCCGTGGCGTCTCCCAGGTATTTCAGCCCAATCGCTAGGAGATTGGGCGGGAAGAGATTAAAGATCACTCGGAGGCCGTTGCTGTACTCCTTGGAGTACGGCACGCCGAAGAGCACAATCAGCTGGAGGACGAACCCTATAATGAAGATAAAAAACCCCACGGTGTTGGCCGTGGCGGCCTTTCGCAGAAAGGTGGAGACGAAGAAGGCGAGGGACGTCATGGAGAGCCAGAAGAGGAAGAACATGAGGAAGAGGACGAGGAAGGCGTTATGGAGGAAGAAATCGAATTGGAACATCATGCCGAAGCACACGAGGAAGATGCAGGAGACGATCGCGAGGAGCACTTCCCAGAGGAACCACGTGAGCCAGAAGACGGAGTCTATGAGGCCCATGGTGGACATGGCCTGGCGGAGCTTTAGCTCGCGCTCCGTTACAAGGTTGCTCGCTTGCGTCACGAAGCTGAACATCGCCGCGGCGAACAGGAACGTCGCGCCGGCGGATCCGACGGCGGAGAACGCGCTGATGGCCGGGTGCGCGAACTCCGCGTACGACGGCGTCCACGTCAGCGTCCAGTCTTTCGCGATGTAACGCGCGATCTCGCGCTCCGCGGCCGCCTGAAGCGGCACCTGGTAGTCGAAAGTCGCGTCCTCGAACTGCCCGCGCTGGCTCTTAACGGTGGCGTTCGTTTGAAGGCCGTAGCCTAACGCGCCGGACGGGGTGAAGGAGAAATGGAGCGCGCCGGTGGTCGTGTACGGATTGGCCATCAGCCACGCGTCCACGTCAGCTGGCGTTGCGAAACCCTTGGTCTGGCGAGGAAAATGGGAGTAGAGAGCAATGAGAATAGAGGCATCAGAGAGATGAGGGATGGGAGAAATGAAGCCAATGACAACTGTAAGTACTGTGCGTGAATGCTTAAGAACAGTGACATCGTGGGACATTGACGAGATGGTAGAAGGGGAAAGGACATGGACCGACATAGGGAAGGACGGAGATCGCCATGGATGTGAAGAGAGTTGGTTTTTGAGAATTCTAAAAAAACAAACGGCAAGTTGAAGGAACGAGCGGACCAGTAACTTCCACCAAGGACAACATTATGCTATTGTTTACTGTGGAAAGGTCCTGCGTATTTACCTGGGTGTCGAAGTTGATCGGACGGCCCGGATTGTTCCGCGTGATGTTTTGAACGAGCGATGTGATGATCGGGCTGTTGCTCCCGCTCCAAATAAAGTCGTAGCACGGCGGCTTGATGTAAAATGCGTTCTCGCAAGCCGGAATTCCAGGGATGGGTTTCGGGACCGGGGTGTAGATGTTCTTATACTCGGTGCGGTCATTTATGGCGGCCTTGAGGGCCTCGTTCACAGCGAAGATAAGGAAAATGAAGAAGAACGACGCGAAGAGCTGAAGGAAAGTTGCCGTTCTGTTTCGCCATGCTACCAACGCGTTTTTTATCATCAGAGCCTTGAACTGGAGACCCCAGAGAGCAGCTCCACGCAAGCGTGTCGTGGAATAATCTGGCTCTCCTTCTTTCTCTGAAGCCCCCATGTCGGACTACGGAACAGGGACTCGTTACTCGGCTTAGATAACGCAACGATAACGCTCACGGCTTTCCTTCCGCAATCAGGGCTTCACAAATGTATCGCCTGCGAGCCAACCCCTAAAGGCTTGCACGAACGATTACTGGTAGGCCTGAAGCAACTCTAATACTGAATGCGGAGTCAATTCCGAGGCGTCAAGAGAACGGAGCCAAAGAGGGATAGAAGGAGAGGGAGATGAGAAGATGCGAGGTGTGGGGGGTTCTAGGCTGCCATGAGCGAGAGGTGAGAGAAAGAGAATGACTGGGCGGTTCACAAGCAGAGCAGACTGTCGGAAGGGAGGGATGACCAGAGAAGCGAAGATGAAACGGACTCTGACAATTGAAACTGTTCTCGTGAGTGTACTGTGCTGTGCTGGCGGTCTGGTCGTCTCTCTCGCTCTGAAATTGCCACACCACCACACACTCACCCTCCCCCAGTGAGTCTACCGCGATGCGGTACGAAGCGCGGGAAAGTTGTTTCGGCTCTGGTGTTCAAGCCCAGCAGAAACATCGACACTGGCGGGAGCCGTTCCACCAGAGGGAATCTTTCTCCAGTGGCATCCTGCTGTGGGTGGCTTTCTGGCGTAACGGGAAGGATCAAATGGCGGGTTCTTGGTAGAAAGAAATGTATACAAGCCAAGGTTAATTTTTCGGTGTTTATGGTATTCAGAAACAAGGTCAAGTCTGAATCTCCCAGTAAACATTTCAATGCGTGACAACGGAATATCGAAAAACATTCGCATTCAGCCCGTGAGCTCCAGTCTACACAAATCTGGCTGACCTCAAGTTTGCGGTGTTCCTCGTTGCTTCGTTCTGTACGTCAGTCACCTGTGACGAAGCCACCTCAGCCACAAAACTGTCACACTCTCCCTGCTGACATCACAGGCGTCGCTTTGCGCTGTGTCGTCTAGTTCACAGAAATGTTCCGGGCAGGTCCCAACCAAACGTCAGCCCAGCGCAGTTGAATCCAGTGCAAGATCCAGCAACTGGGGGGGGTGGGGGAGACGAGCAGTTCAGTGTTTGCCTGCACGGTACACCACATCCTTGCCACGCTGGCTCCATTCAAGTCCACCCGCCCACGCAACAAGCTCAGCCGCACACACACCCACCAACGGAGTTGTGACCGCAATTGTCCCAACCACCCAGCAAGCCAATCAGAGCATTCCGTGAACTTGGACTTCTTCTGAGAGGTGTCTTGTGTGCTCAATGGGAGCGTACGCCCGTACGTACGGTCGTTTCCTCAGGGTTGCATGCAGCGGGCTGTCATCCATGCACGTCACATCGGGCTTCTTCCTCCGCCTCTTAGCTCCTCGGTAGTGTCAGTTCAGCAGAGGTGCTTAGACTTTCAGTTAGCTTGCTAGGCAAGGCTGTCTCATTCGTGGAAGCAAATTACATAGTGGGCTGGATTGAACTTATTTTCTTGCCGCCTTATTTTGCTGGCTTGTCGCTCGGCGCGTCCGATTAGCTGGAGACAGTTTTCGTCTAAATGGCTGATAAGGAGAACGGTGGTAGCAAAACAGACGGTGAAAATGGTGCTGCTGCGACGGAGCAGGAGCTTCAGGCTGAGCAAGAGCAGGAGCAGCGCCGAGTGCGACTCCGGACTACTCTTAAAACCCAAGCAAATGCGCTTTTGCGTAAAAATGTCACGTTCCAGGTATTTAATTTTCTCGAGACCGGCTCGACTATGACATGGTTAACTATTCGAGGCTTTAATTTATCCCAGCAAGTTGAAAACGGTGCTCTTATCGCAGCCTTTCGGATGTCCTTAATCCTGACGCATCACTGAGTACCATCTTCATTCCTTCGCTGCAAGCTTCATTCCTTACTCTTATCTCAACTGCTTGCCTCCCTTCTTCCGCTGCTCACTTCGTGGCTCGTTTGTCCTCTCAACCCTAGCACTCAGTAGTTACTAGCAATTCGCTTCCCATGACCGTGTCTCAGTGTTTTAATGTCCCTTGTCCGCTCGTCCACAACCTTAATCTCCTCCGCTCACTCTTCCCGCGTCCTATCCCCCCTCGAACATAATGCTCCAGAAACGCAACTGGGGGACCAACCTATGCCTGGTCTGCATGCCGATCCTCATGTGCCTGCTGCTGAAGATCCTCGAGATCGCCATCAATAAGATCCTCAGCGGCCCCGACTACCGCTGCGGCTGCATCTGCACGGCCACGGGGTCCAACGACACAGGCGCGTGTCCCGACCCGAGTCAGCAGATGTGCGGCCCGCAATACTCCAACAACAAGCAGACCGCGTTCTGCGCCGTGCCTAACCCGTACATGTACCCGGCTATGGTCCAGGTGAGAGGGGCTTTGACGTTATGACGTTATCATGGCGTGATGACGCTATCATGATGTGATGACGCTATCATGGCGTGATGACGCTATCATGATGTGATGACGCTATCATGATGTGATGACGCTATCATGATGTGATGACGCTATCATGATGTGATGACGCTATCATGATGTGATGACGCTATCATGATGTGATGACGCTATCATGATGTGATGACGCTATCATGATGTGATGACGCTATCATGATGTGATGATGCTGCGCACGCGCTGCTTTGCATGGCCGACTCCTTCTCGCACTCCTTCTCGCACTCCTTCTCGCACTCCTTCTCGCATTCCTTCTCGCACTCCTTCTCGCGCTCCTTCTCGCACTCCTTCTCGCACGTCTTCTGCTGATCTCCGCACGCGCTCCCCCTTTTTCTACCCCCCTACCTGTACATCCTCTTTTTTTTTGCAGGTGCCCACACAGTACTTCCGGGCAGTTAACTCGCCGCAAAATAACTATGCAGGCCTGCCCGACCCGTCCTGTCGCTCTGCGTCGGAACCCAACAAATCATGCCCGGCCATCTTCCTATACACGGGGCAGAACCAGACCCTAGCCAATGGTGAGTGCTGATTTGCCTCTGGGGGACCGTAGCCAATGGTGTGTGCTGATTTGCCTCTGGGGGACCCTAGCCAATGGTGAGTGCTGATTTGCCTCTGGGGGACCCTAGCCAATGGTGAGTGCTGATTTGCCCCTGGGAACCTAGCCAATGGTGAGCTCTGAAATGCTTTTGACTCGACTGAAAAGCGCTCTGCTCTGGTTCAGCTATCAACCAATCATGCCCGGCCATTTTCCTGTACACGGGGCAGAACCCAACGGTAAGTACCTGTTTGAGTGTCAATCTTATGTTCTCCCAACCCTGCTACCTTCCCCCTCCCTCACCAACCCCCCCCTCCTCTCACCTTCCCACTTCGCAGCGATGGGCGCGTGTCCGACCAGCCCCTTCACCCTCACGGCGTGGCAGAGGATGCCAGGCGTCAGTTCCCACCTCCTATCCCTGCTCCATCGGGCGCATGCACAACCGTAACCCCCTGCACTGTCCCCTCTCCCCCCTCCCCCTCCCCCCCCACTACCCATGCAGCCATGGGCACGTATCTGACGAGCCCCTTCAACCTCACCGCGTGGCAGAAGATGCCCGGAGTGAGCACGCCCGGCGCACCTGCAGCTGCTCCCCCTGCTGCCCCCCCTGCTGCTCCCCCTGGAAGTAGTGGCGGCAGTGGCAGTGGTGACGGCAGCAACCGGACCATGTACAATGGCACGATGGGGCTCGCTCCGTACCTCTACAACTTCGCCTCGCTTGAGCTGGTGAGGCCTCACTTGCTCTTTTGAGACGTCTCAAAAGTCTTTTATTTAATGACACGGTGGGTCTCGCTCCGTACCTCTACAACTTCGCCACACTTGAGCTGGTGAGGCCTCACTTGCTCTTGCATAGTCGCTATATTGCACCTAATAGTCTTGGCTAAATGGTGGCTGCTTACGTTTCCTCGTGTGTGCTCACATGTCTTCTTACCCCGATGAAACCGCATTGTATCGTTGCGAACCCATACATCCAGCCCAACCCCACTGCAGGGCACCAACGTATTTCCGACCCTGATGCTCATCGTACACCCTGCCCTCACGCCCATAGCGGACTGCCCCAGCACGTTGTGACCGCACTGAACCGCACTGAACGGTATTTGAACCGTGTCGTATCCACCCTTGCCGCTACCCCCACCGCAGGGCACCAACGTGATTCTGACCCTGACGCTCATCATACACCCTGCCCTCACGCCCATAGCGGATGGCCCCAGCACGCTGTAACCGCACTGGACCGCACTGAACCGCGTTGTATCCACCCGTGTCGCTACCCCCACTGCAGGGCACCAACGCATCCCTGACTCTGACGCTCATCATCGACCCTGCCTTCACGCTCATGGCGGATGGCCGCAGCATGCTGTAACCGCACTGAACCGCGTTGTATCCACCCTTGTCGCTGCCCCCACTGCAGGGCACCAACGCATCCCTGACTCTGACGCTCATCATCGACCCTGCCTTCACGCCCGTCACGGACGACCCCAGCAAGCTCTACCTGCTGCAGCCTAACTGCTCCACGCCGGCCATGCTGCAAAAACCAATCAACTTCTCCTTTGGGGGGTTCACCAGTGGCAAGCCGCCCATGCGTGAGTCACGAGTTGTGTAGGGTGCTGTATCTCCCTTGTGGCGAGTCATGAGCCCTCACGCCCATCACGGACGACCCCAGCAAGCTCTACCTGCTGCAGCCTAACTGCTCCACGCCGGCCATGCTGCAAAAACCAATCAACTTCTCCTTGGGGGGGTTCACTGGCTACAAGCCCATGCGTGAGTCACGAGTTGTGTAGGGTGCTGTATCCCTCCCCTTGTGGCGAGTCGTGAGATCTCACGCCCCGTAACAGACGGCCCCAACTGCTCGTCACCGGCCATGCTGCAGAAACCCATAAACTTCTCCTTGGGGGGGTTCACTGGCGACAAACCCATGCGTGAGTGTAGATGGTGTTGAATCAGTGGGCCCCCACCCCTGTGACAGACAGACGTGCCTAGCTTGTTGCACCTGCTGCGACAAACCCATGTGTGAGTGAGGCATGACTTATGCGCCCTGTGATGTCCCTTGGTGAGCGCACCCTGCGCTCTCCTCTCCCGCGCCCAGGCACGCTTTTGAGGCTCCTAAAAAATCCACTTCCGTGCCCAGGCACGCTTTTGAGGCTCCTAAAAAATCCACTTCCGTGCCCAGGCGCGCTTTTGAGGCTCCTAAAAAATCCAATTCCGTGCCCAGGCGCGCTTTTGAGGCTCCTTAAGAATCCACTTCCGTGCCCAGGCACGATTTCACAGACCTGTATTCCTGACATTCCCTCCCCTCCTGCTCTCTCTCCCCCCCCCTCCCTCCCCCCCACACCTCCCCTCTCCCATCGTCTCAAGAGCTCTCCTGCGTGTCCTCCTCGCCTCTCTGGCGCCCTGACACGTCTTTCACTGACAGCAAACTGTATTGCGGCTTCTACCTGGCGATTTTTGAGATTTCTCATAAAGGGCCTCCCTTGTCTGTACTCACAATACTGCCTCCCTCCCTTCCCCGCTCTACCTCTTCACTCCCCCTCTTTCTCTGCAGAGATCTCCTGCGTGCCCTCGTCGCCTCTCTGGCGGCCGAACACGGCCTCTATTGACACTGAATTGTTCAACGGCTTCTACCAAGCACAGACTGCACTCTATGGCGGGGATGCCGCCAGCAACGAGTATGCAGGAGGTAAGGGCGGCTGGTGAACGGAGGAAACGAGTCCTGCTTGTCCCCCCCCCCTCCTTCTCTCGTTCGTCGTCTCACACTCTCTTCAACACCACCGTCTATTTCAATTCAACTCCTCCTTTGCTCTCTTTCCCTTCCCCCCCCCCCTTCTCTCGTTCGTCGCCTCACAACACCACCGTCTGTTTCAACTCCTCTCTTTCTCCTCAGCTGGCCAGCGGCGCAGGTCTGCTGTGTGCTCTTTTTTCGTCCCACTTTTTACCCCCCTTCCCCTTCTTCCCCCCCTGCTCCCACCTTCTCTCGCCCACCCCTTTCCCGCCTCCCAACAGCGTCTGACTTCAACACCACGTCGCGCACTCTCTCTTCAACACCACCGTCTCTTTCAACTCCTCCTTTGCTCTCTTCCCCCCCCACCCTCTCCTCCCCCTCCTCCATTCTCCCCATTCCCATCTCCCTTTCAACAGCGTTTGACTTCAACACCACGTCGCGCACTCTCTTCAACACCACCGTCTATTTCAACTCCTCCTTCCGAGGCACCAGCCAGGGGCCCAGGAGTGGAGTGCGCTTTCCCAAGGCCATGAACATGGTGCGTAGCGATTGTGACTAAAGCGAATTGTGACTATGGCATGCGCTTCCTCCCCCCTCCTTCCGCCTCGTCTCTCCCCACCCCCCCCGCCCTCCCCCTCGCCCTCCGCCCCCCGCCCTCCCCCCTCCCTCCGCTCCGCCTGCCTGCAGCATTTGATTTCAACACCACCTCTCGCTCTCTCTTCAACACCACTGTTTATTTCAACGCCTCGGCTTCCAAATTCCGTCGCCGCGGGCAAGCGGCATTGCGCTTTCCCAAAGTCATGAACATGGTAGGCTGAGTTGTGACTGGCGCCCTTAAAGCCTGTTTTTTAGGCGCCTCAAAAATAGACTGAGCCGGGGGCAAGCGGCATTGCGCTTTCCCAGAGTCATGAACATGGTGCGTAGTGACTATGGCGCTCTTAAAGCCCCCCTGCTCTTAAAGCCCCCCCACTATCACTAAGGACTTCCTTCCTAAGGCTTCCACTCAGTGCAGCCCTGACTCAAGACTACCCCTCCCTTGCCCTACTCCCCCCCCCCCCCAATCCCCCCCTCTCTCCCCACCCTCCAGGCCACCAACGCGTATATCCAAGCGGTCTTCAATGCAGCTGCGGAGCTCCCTCTGCTCTTCGTGAAGGACTTCCCCAAAGTCTCCACCCAGCTCAGCCTCGACTTCGCCTCCCTCATCGGGCCGCTCTTCTTCATGTGGATCCTGCTGCTGCTCTTCCCGGTACGTCCTTGCTATTCCTGAGGCGCCTCAAAATATTCCCCATATAAAATCCGCGTGAATTGAGACAATTTTTGAGGCGCCTCAAAAATGCGCTTCCCGGTAAGCCACCTGCTCTTCCCGGTAAGCCACCTGCTCTTCCCGGTACGTCCTTGCTCTTCCCCCCTACGTGCTGTACGTTCAAGCCTCTACTGACTTTGCGTCCCTCATCGGCCTCATCGGGCCGCTCTTCTTCATGTGGATCCTGCTGCTGCTCTTCCCTGTAAGCTGCAGCTCTTCCATTCCCTCGCACGTGCTGTTCGTCCTTTCCCTTTCCTCCCTCCCACGTGCACGTTGCGTCCCTCATCAGCCCCCTCTTCTCCATGAAACGCGATGACTTTTGAGTCGATTCAAAAGTCTTCTCCATGAAACGCTTTCTGTGAAGATGCATAGGCTGGGAGAGATAGCGCGTGCATGGTGGGGCACCTTAAGTGTGTGATGTGCCTAGTGTCTTGACTTGTGCCCCTCCTGCACGTGTGTGTGGGGTACCTGGTGTACGAGAAGGAGAAGAATCTGCGCATGATGATTCAGATGCACGGTGCTGTGTGTGTGTGGTACCTTATGTGCCTCTCTTGTGTTGGGTACTCCTTTCCTCCCCTCCCCCCCCCACCCCACCCCCCCACCCCGCCATCTCCCCTGGCAGGTGTGTGCGCAGTACCTGGTGTACGAGAAGGAGAAGAATCTGCGCATGATAATGAAGATGCACGGGCTGGGCGACAGTGTCTTATGTTCGTGCCATGTGTGGCGTGGTCCCCTTCTCTCCACCACCCCTCAACCACTCCCCCCGCCCCCCCCCCCCCCCTTCCCTTCCCCACCCCCCCATCGGCAAGTATGTGTGGGGTACTTGGTGTACGAGAAGGAGAAGAATCTGCGCATGATGGTGAAGATGCACGGTTGCTTGTGCGCGTCGCCTTATGTATCTGGCATGGATATCCAGTGCACACCCCTATCCCCCCCCTTCCTCACCTCATCTGCAGGTGTGTGTGGGCTATCTGGTGTACGAGAAGGAGAAGAACCTGCGCATGATGATGAAGATGCACGGGCTGGGCGACAGCGCCTACTGGCTCATCTCCTACGCCTACTTCTTCCTCCTCTCCTTCATCTACATCCTCTTCTTTGTCCTCTTCGGCTCCCTCGTCGGTACGTCTCATGGTTGTTCGGCGCCAAGTGCTATCGCTCGGTCAAACTTCTTCCTCCTCGCCCTCCTCTCCTTCGTCGGCGTCCTCTTGTTTGTTATCTTTGCCTCCCTCGTCGGTACGCATGTCGCATGTTCTTCCTCTGGCACATCCTCTCCTGTCCGTCCCTGCCTCTTCCTCCCCTTCCTTTGAGGCCCCTCAAAAGTTTCTCGAGGCGCCTCAAAAGTTTTTTGAGGCCCCTCAAAAGTTTTTCGAGGCCCCTCAAAAGTTTTTCGAGGCCCCTCAAAAGTTTCCTCTGGCACATCCTCTCCTGTCCCTGCCTCTTCCTCCCCTTCCTCCTCTCCTTCGTCTACATCCTCTTCTTTGTCCTCTTCGGCTCCCTCGTTGGCACGGCCCGTGCCTTGTCACGGAAACCCATGGCTTTTTTCGCTCATACTGTCTCATCATATGCCCTGCTGCACTGCCGCTTGGTCCTCCGCTTCTTCCTCGCCCTTTTAGACGTCTACATTCTCAAAAGTAGCCACCCTTCCCCCCCCACCAATTCCCCCCTCCCCCTCCCCTCCCCTCCCCCCCTTCCCCCCAGGCCTCAAATGCTTTGGCACCAACAGCCACGGGCTGCACTTTATCTTCCACTTCGTCCTCTTATGCCCACTTTCTCCTTCCTTCCCTGCACAGTTGCCCCCTTCCACTTCTCCCCCTCCCCCCCCCCCCCCCACCCAGGCCTCAAGTTGTTCTGCATGGACATCTACTGGCTGCAATATAACTTCTACCTCTCGTGTACCAACCAGCCCCCCTCTCCCTTCCCCCCCTTCCCCCCCAGGCCTCAAGTTCTTCCGCATCAACAACTACGGGCTGCAGTTTACCTTCTCCCTTCTCCCTTCGCCCTCCTATGCCCCACACAACCCCCTCTCACCGTACCCCACCTGCCCCCATCCCTTTCCCCAGGCCTCAAGTTCTTCCGCATCAACAGCTACGCGCTGCAGTTCATCTTCTACTTCGTCTTTGGCAACTGGCAGATCAGCTTCGCCATCCTCGTCGCCACCTTCTTCAAGTTCACCAAGACCGCCTCAGGTGAGTCTGGAGTCTCCTCATACAGTCACGCCTCTACAGTCGCTCCTTGTACAGTCACTCGGCTTCACCATCCTCGTCGCCACCTTCTTAAGTTAGCCACGACCGTCTCGGGTGGGTGCTGAGACTCCTCACCGTCAAACCTGGTATGGTCACGCCTCGTACAATCACCCGGATTTCACTATCCTGGTAGCCAACATGTTCAAATCCACCAAGACCACGCCAGGTGAGTGTGGGCCTTCCTGCTCCTCCACCATATCGCTGCACCTTTTTCCTCCTCTACAATATCGTTCCCTCCCCCCTCCCATTTGCCTGTTTACTAGCTTCTCTCTGCTCGCTTCCCTTTTTAGTACCTGATTCGTTCCTTGGTACCAAATTTCTCATTGCCCTCCCTCCCTTAGCTTCTTTGTCCATCGTGTATCTCCCCTCTCTTTCCCCCCCTCTCTTTCCCCCCTCTCTTTCCCCCCCTCTCTTTCCCCCCCTCTCTTTCCCCCCTCTCTTTCCCCCCCTCTCTTTCCCCCTCTCTGCGCCCCTCCCCACGCCTCGCCCTGGTCTGCAGTGGTGGCGTACCTCTATGTGTTCGGCGGTGGTCTCCTGGGGCAGTTTCTCTTTGGATACTTCCTGGAAGATCCCGACTTCCCAGGTGAGCCACAGCACATCCTTGGGTAAGCGGTCTATATTTGAGGCGCCTCAGAAATAGGCTTCTTGGCAGGCCGCGCATTGTCTGGCAGGTTAGCTTTGAGACGTCTCAAACCCACCCGACTTGACCACTTGAGGAGCCTCAGAAACAGATTTCTTGACAGGCTGCGCATTGTCTGGCAGGTTAGCTTTGAGACGTCTCAAAACCACCCCACTTAACCACTCGAGGAGCCTCAGAAACAGACTTCTTTGCCGCCCATCGCCCACGCACGCTGCATCCAGACTTCTTTGCCGCCCACCACGCGCCCGTGCACGCAGTTTCCGAGGTGCAAGCATTCACTCGTCCGTCGTTTTCAATGCCAGCCAGCCGGATGCCTTGTGCCCTGGAGCCACCTCGGGCTCAGTCAGGCCGCATGGATGACAGGGCGCAGTCAGCCTTCATCGGCAGCTACCAGAGCACGGGCTAACCCACCAACATGCACATTCCCCATCCCCCACTTTTTTCCCCTACTCCCGCTCACAAACGCACCAGCCGGCCGGGGGCTCTTTGCTCTAGAGTTCATTCCCCCCCTCGCCAGCTACCAGGGCCTGTTCGAGTTCGCCCAGTCTGCCTCTATCAGCAGCTACCAGAGCACAGCCTAACCCACCAACACGTGCATCCCTCATCCTCCCTGTTTCTCGCACCCCCCCCCCCCCCCCCCCCTCTCTCCGCTCCTATCCCAGCGGGGGGGCTGTTCGCCCTGGAGCTCATCCCCCCCTTCGCCTGCTACCGGGGCCTGTACGAGCTCCCTTAACAACAACCCCTGCTTGCTTCCTGCCTTCCTTCTCTTCCCTTCCAACTCATACACACACACACACACCAGCTGGTGGTCCGTTCGCCCTGGAGCTCATCCGCCACTTCGCCTGCTACCGCGGCCTGTACGAGTTCTCCCAGTCAGCCTTCATCGGCAGCTACCAGAGCACAAGCTAACCCACCACTACGCACATTCCCCATTCCCCCCCCTTTCTTCCGCCTCCCCCCTTCACAAACGCACCAGCTGGAGGGCTGTTCGCCTTGCAGCTCATCCCCCCCTTCGCCTGCTACCGCGGCCTCTATGAGTTCTCCCAGTCGGCCTTCATAGGCAGCTACCAAGCCACCAGCGGCTCGCTCACCTTCAGCAACGCTGGCTCGCTGGGCTTCTGGGGAGCTGTTGGCATCATGGCCGTCCAATGGGTCATTTTCCTGCTTCTGGGGCTGTACCTGGACCAGGTGGGTGTGGGCTGTTGCTGCACGCAGTCCAGTGGGTCATCTTCTTGCAGCTGGGGCCGCACCTGGATCAGGTGAGCATCAGGTGGCTTTTGAGTCGACTCAAAAGGCACCTGGATCAGGTGAGCATCAGGTGGCTTTTGAGTCGACTCAAAAGGCACCTGGATCGGGTGAGCATCAGGTGGCGATTTGAGACACGCCTAAACGTGCATGCATCAAACCAGCAATGTCAAAGCTTGCCCAGAGGCGGCTTACAATACAACTACACTCACCCCACTCTTCTCTGTCATCCGCCCCTTCTCCCTCCAATCAGGTGGTGCCATCTGGCGGGCGGTCCGCCAAGCACTCTCTTTTCTTCCTGGAGGGCATCAGGGCCCGCCACAAACAGAGCAGGACGCTTTTCAGTTCAGAGCCTCCCTCATCCCACTGTTGCTCATCCGTCCCTCCCATCCCCAGGTGATTTTTGAGTCGACTAAAAAAGAGCCCTCCCTCATCCCACTGCTGCTCATCCGTCCCTCCCATCCCCTCTTTCAGGTGGTGCCATCTGGCGGGGGGTCCGCCAAGCACTCTCTCTTCTTCCTGGACGGCCTCAGGGGCCGCCACAAGCACGGCACGGCAGCACGCTCTCCAGTTTCCTTCCTCATCCCAATGTTCTTCTTCTCCTATTTTGAGTCGACTCAAAATACAAATGATCTTCTTCTTCTCCTATTTCGCAATGTCGTCTCTCCCATCCCCTCTTTCTCCTACCTGTTCCTCCCAGGTCGTGCCGTCTGGTGGGGGGTCCGGCAAGCATCCTCTCTTCTTCCTGGACGGCCTCAGGGGCCGCCACAAGCATGGCAACACGCTCTCCAGAGCCAGCCGCTCCCACCGGGCGTCGTCGAGAGCAGCGGGGCAGGTGGAGGCAGAGAAGGAGCGGGAAGACGTGATGGCAGAGGTGAGCAACTGGTGGGGGGCTCTAGAAGGATAGCAATCATCTTCCCACCCCTTGAGGAATGTCCACGTATGGAGGAATGTCCACGTATGGAGGAATGCCCACGTATGGAGGAATGCCCACGTATGGAGGAATGTCCACGTATGGAGGAATGCCCACGTATGGAGGAATGTCCACGTATGGAGGAATGTCCACGTATGGAGGAATGTCCACGTATGGAGGAATGCCCACGTATGGAGGAATGCCCACGTATGGAGGAATGCCCACGTATGGAGGAATGCCCACGTATGGAGGAATGCCCACGTATGGAGGAACGGCTGCAACCCATTACCCTTCCTTCCCCACTGGCCCCACCACCTGTCACCACCCGTCACCCCTCTCCACCCATCACCGCCCATCAACGCCCATCACAGACCATCACAGCCCGTCACCCGTCACCGCCCGCCACCGCCCGTCACCTCTACGCCCGCCACCGCCCACCACCGCCCGTCACCGCCCGCCCCCGCCCGTCACCCCCCGCCACCCATCACCGCCCATCAACGCCCATCACAGCCCGTCACCCGTCACCGCCCGCCACCGCCCGTCACCGCCTGCCACCGCCCGCCACCGCCCGCCACCCCCCACCACCCATCACCGCCCATCAATGCCCATCACTGCCCGTCACCACCCGGTACCCGTCACCGCGAGCCACCGCCTGCCACCGCCCGCCACCGCCCACCACCGCCCGCCACCGCCCATCACCTCTACGCCCGCCACCGCCTGCCACCGCCCGACACCGTCCGCCGCCACCCGTCACCGTCCGTCACCCGCCCGTCACCGCCCGGCACCGCCCACCACCGACCGTCACCGCCCGTCATGGCCCGTCACGGCCCGTCACCGCCTGTCACCGCTGCCTCCTCTACAAATAGCGAGAGCTGGTGCAACGGCTGCTGCAGCACGACCAGCTAGACCACAGCTATCCCGCACTCAGCGACTGCATGAAGAATGTCTACCCCGGGATGGACGGCAACTCATTATACTCAAACCACCTCCCTTCCCTTCTCCCTGTCTCCTGTTTCTTCTCCCCTAACAGCACAGCGAGAGTTGGTCCAACAGTTACTGCAGGGAAATCCCCTGGGCCATGGGTACTCCATAGTCTTGCGACAACATGAAGGTCTACCTCGGCAGGGACACCCAACTCCTTATCCTCACCCCCTCCCCTCCCCGGCAGCGGGAGCTGGTGCAGCAGCTGCTGCAGCACGACCAGCTGGACCACAGGTACTCCATTGTCTGCGACAACATGAAGAAGGTCTACCCGGGAGGGACGGCAACTCATTATCCTCACCTCCGCTTTCTCCTGCTCCTACCCCCCCTCCCCCCCCCACCCTGCTACAGAGGGAATTGGTGCAGCAACTCCTTCAGAGGGATCAGCTGGACCATGGGTACTCCATAGTCTGCGATAACATGAAGAAGGTCTACCCCGGGAGGGACGGCAACCCGCCGAAGCTGGCGGTTCGGGCCATGTCTCTGGCGCTGGCCCGGGGCGAGTGCTTCGGCATGCTGGGGCCGAACGGGGCGGGCAAGACCACGTGCATTCACATGATGATCGGGCTCATCAAACCGAGCTCTGGCACGGCTTTCATTGAGGGGAAGGACATTCTGGAGGAGATGGATGATGTCTACACCATCATGGGCGTGTGCCCCCAGCACGAGTGAGTGAAGGGAGGCCTATCCAGGTTAAGTCAAGGTCAAAAGGGCATGTTGAGGTGCCTTAGCCCATGTGCATTCACATGAGTGCTCAGCTCTGGCACAGCGTCCTTCATAACCATGTGCCCGCAGCATGAGTGAGTGAAGAGTCAAATATTCATGTGACTTGGGGTGCCTTAGACCACGCTTCCCTCCAGTCTTCTCTGGGAGCACCTAACGGGTCGGGGCGGTAGGATCTCTACTTCCACGGCCGGCTGAAGAACCTGCACGGGCAGCAGCTGCAGCAGGCAGTGGTGGACTCCCTCCCCCTTCCCCTCACTCCCCTCTTTCCCCACCCCCTCCTCCCCCCCCCCCTTCTCCCATTCCATCCAGTCTTTTATGGGAGCAGCTGACAGGCAGGGAGCACCTGTACTTCTACGGCCGCTTGAAGAACCTGCATGGGCTGGAGCTGCAGCAGGCGGTGGTGGAGTCCCTCAAGAGCGTCAACCTGCACTCGGGGGGTGCGGCAGACAAGAAGGCCGGCCAGTACAGCGGGGGCATGAAGCGGCGACTGTCGGTGGCCATCTCCTTGATTGGCAAGCCACCGGTAAGTGCAGGTTGTGTGCGGTGCAGTGTGTATTTCTTATCGTCAGTGGTGGATTCACTCCAGAGCGTCAACCTGCACTCACTCGGGGGGTGCGGCGGACAAGAAGGCCGGGCAGCACAGCGGGGGCATGAAGTGACGCCGCCTCTCTCTGGCAATTTCCCTCACTGGGAAACCACCGGTTGCCATGCTCTCTCCGCCTCCCTGTTTCTGTTACGTCACTCTTCCCCTTATCTTTCCCACACCTCCGTTCCCCTCCCACTTCCTCACAACTTAGAACAACCTTCCTCACATGTTCCCTACAAACCCGTACGTCCGCTCTCCCCCGCCCAGGTGGTGTACATGGACGAGCCCAGCACGGGCCTGGACCCAGCCTCGCGCTACAACCTGTGGGCCGTGGTGAAGGAGGCGAAGAAGGACTCGGCGATTGTGCTCACGAGTGAGTGAGGGTGGGAGAGGTGATTGTGCTGACCACTGAGTGAGGCAAGGATTGGTGGAAATGCTGATTACTTCGAAGTGGGATTGATTTAGACAGAATGGATTCTTTGTGGGCGGGCAGTTTGAGTGCTTTGGCAACCCCTGGCAGTCTGATCTCCCCTTCCTTCCCCCTTCCCCCTTCCCCCTTCCCGCTTCCCGCTTCCCCCTTCCCCCTTCCCCCTTCCCCCTTCCCCCTCCCCCTTTCCGCTTCCCCCTTCCCCCTTCCCCTTCATCCCCGCTCAGCGCACAGCATGGAGGAGGCAGAGGCCCTCTGTGACTGCCTGGGCATATTCGTGGACAGCCAGTTTGAGTGCATTGGGAACCCCTGCCAGCTGACCCCTCCCCCTTCCCCCTACCCCTCACCCTTCCCCTTCATCCCCCCACCAGCTCACTCTATGGAGGAGGCAGAGGCCCTCTGTGACCGCCTGGGAATCTTCGTGGACGGCCAGTTTGAGTGCATTGGGAACCCCCGCCAGCTGACCTCGCGGTACGGTGGCTCGTTTGTCTTCACCGTGACCACACCGTCCGAAGAGGAGGACGCGGCTGCTGACCTGGCTAAGGCGCTCTCGCCCAATGCGAAGAAGGTGTACAGCCTGGCGGGCACACAAAAGTTTGAGCTGCCCACTGCTGATGTGAGTCGCGGCGAAGAGCCTATCTCTTCCCCTCACTTCGCATTCCCCCGCTCCTCTCACTTCCCTCAGTCTCTTTTCCTGCGAGTGTCATAGTTTGTGTCATAGTTTGTGTCATTACCACTTCCTGCTTCCCTGCTTCACTCCCCCTCCAGGTGAACATGGCGGATGTGTTTGTAACAGTAGCGGAAGCCGAGGCATGGTTATCCATATGAGCATGGGGCATTCCCAACACCACCCATACCTACCTTAACCATACCCTACCACACCGCTCCCTTTTCCCCCTCCAGGTGAACATGGCGGATGTGTTTGCCACAGTAGCGGAGGCTAAGTCGCGGATATCCATACGAGCATGGGGCATCGCCAACACCACCCTGGAAGATGTGTTCATCAGCATTGCCAAGGAGGCCCAAGGGGCCCATGCTGCTCTGTCTTAAACCCTTGACATGGGATAACTAATCGTTGCCTTGCCTTGATCGACATGAGCATCAGGCATCGCCAGCACCTCTCTGGAATATATGTTTCTCAGCATTGCATGGGAGGCCCAATGGGGCCATGCTTCTCTCTCCTAGGATGTAATACCGGTACCACTAGAGGCATTTATGTATGTTGTGCCATGCTGCTCTCCTAGGATGTAATACCGGTACCACCAGAGGCATTTATGTATGTTGTGTGGGGTGTTGGCAAGGGGGGATGCTGCTCTGTCTAAAACGACTGAGGTTTTTGTAGTTTCTAACTTGTTTCTTTCCCAATATCATGCTTTTCAGCTCGTAGCCCTTGTCCCCTCCTAGCCCCCTAGAAATGGAAATGGTGACAATTTGTGTAGCTTGAAAATACTAAACGAGCATGTCGATGTCAGTGGCAAAGAGTCAAGTGGCATAGAACAGCAATGCAATTAGTCAGCTCATCAACAGACCAGTCGGAGTCAGCAAACGCAGCAGCCCAGCCGCAACAACAGCCAGCAGCAGCACCAGCTTTGGCGGGCTTATACCCGGTACGATAGCAGCAGCACCAACTGCAAACAGCATGAGCAAGCAGCATGCGCAAGCAGCAGCAGCAACTGCAGCATCTTCCCAGCCATAACTTGTCCCAAGCAGCCCAGGACATGCACCAGCCCAGCACATGCACCAGCCCATCCTCCTTAAGAGCGGCCCCGATACATAATCGTCTCATCCGCCCAGGCAGCACCCCCGAGGCCACTGCCCGCACCACCAGCCGCCCATGAGTTAAGCGGTGGGGGAGGGGGAGCGAAGGCATCCCCCCCACCACCCATCATCATCATCATACCATTACTGCTGCTGCTGCTGGCCCCTCTATTGGATATGGCTGCAGATGCATGTCCGTGTGTTTCGTGTGTGCCAATGGTATGTGCAGTGAGGTGGCGGTCATAGAACCCATCATGATGGCTGGGGCTGTTGCTTTCAGCGGGGCTGCTTGCAAGGAGTACAGCAGTAGGGATGAGGGACGACCGTTGCTGGTGCTGATGCTGGTCGTGCTGCTGGTGCTGATGGTGGTGGTGCTGCTGTTGGTTGTTGTGGTGGGGGTGGTGGTGGTGGTGGTGAGAGGGATGGTGATGGTGTTGCTGCTGCTGGTGCTGTAGCAGCTCCTGCTGCTGCCAGGTCTGTTGCTGCTGCTGTTGTGGCTGCTGCTGCTGCGGCTCCAACTGCTGCTGCAGCTGAAACTGCACCTGCTGCTGCTGCTGCTGCTGCTGCTGCTGGAACTGCTGCTGGGGCACCATCCCCTGGCCCTGCCCACCTCCCCCTCCTCCGCCGCTCAACTGCATCAGCAATTCCTCTTCAGTCAGGGCAACAGGAAGCGGAGGCGCCAAGTGACCCATACCCATACCCGCGCCCATCCCCATGCCCATGCCAGCACCAGGAGGCGCAAACCCCATGCCACTTCCGCCCATCCCACCTCCCCCCATTGCGCCTGGGGGCGCAGGGGAAGGCATCCTCCCCCCAGGCGCGAATCCTGAGGGTGGGGGCGCGAATCCTTGCCCTGGGGCGCCCTGCCCTTCGCTCAGGAATGCGAGCATGGAGGCGTCAGCAGGAGGGAGAGGGGCTGGGTGCTGCCTGTGGGGCGGCGGGGACATGTGGGGCGGCAAGCCGCCAAACCCTAACCCTAAACCGCTAGAAAACTGCTGCTGCTGCTGCTGGGAGTGAAGGTCCATAGACTGACCCACGGCTTGTGGGGGCGGAGGGGGATGAGACCCAGCAAAGGACGGCGGGCGGGACCCCGAAGAGAAGGCAGAGATGGCAGGATCCAGGGCCGAAGGGTCCCACAGCTGGTGCCCCTGCGCGCCCTGCATCCCCGCGCCATCTCCCACCCCCATACTCCCTCCTACGCCCATCTCTCTTCCAAACTCCTTCCTTCCATCCCGCCCTATGCTCCGGTCCATATCCCCTGTCCCCCACAAGCCGCTGCCCGGCATTCCCTGTGCTGCCCCAAACGGCTGTAGCGCGGGGTTATCCTCCTGCCCTGCTACAGCCGCAGCTGTAGCAGCAGCCCTGTGCAGGCTCCGTTCGCTGATCGCCATGGCAACCTGCTTCAGGTGCTCCTTAGCGGCCGCAGCTTCGGACGACGCAGCCGACGCTTGCCCTTCTAGATCCGCGCAACGAGCCCGCAGCGCGCCCGCTTCAGCCACCGCCGCAGCAATCGCTGCCGCCGCCGTGGCATGATTAGCAGCTTGCATCCTCTCCGCCTCCTCCACTCGCTCCCAGTTCTGCCGCTCCCTCTGCGCCGCCTCCTGCCCCGCGGCAGAAGCAGCAGCGATTGCGGCGGCCGCAGAGGCAGCCACTGCTTTCGCCTCCTCCTGCCCGTTCCGCAGCCCCTCCAGCTCGGCGCGCTCCTGCCCAATAATCCTCTCCGCCTCCTCCGCTCGCTTTCTCGCGCCGGAAAACGCCGCCAGCAGGCGCACGCAGATCCGGCACCCCTCCCGCGCCACAACCGCTTCCAACTCAGCCACACTCCCCTCAACCTCCTCTCCATTCCCTCCTTCCCCTCCTTTCCCACCTTCCCCTCTTTTCTCTCCCCCGCGTCCCCCCAGCGCCTTATCCACAGCCGCGCGCCCGTCCGCGTGCGTGCGCTTCAGCTTCTCCGCCTCGAACTTGGCCTCGAACAGCTCGTGCTGCAGCCGCGAAGCCTCGGCGCGAGATTCCTCCAAAGCCTCCTCCGCTTTCGCTAGCCGCTGCGTAAGGTTGTCCGCGGACGCGTCCGCGCCCCCGCCCAAGTCCCGCGCCGAGCCCACCTTCTTGGCTGCCCCCACTGCTGCGCCTCCCGCTGCGCCCCCTGCAGAAACAACGATTCCGCCCTCTCCATCCGCCGCTTCCTCCGCCAGCACCCGCTGCTTCTCCGCCTCGAATCTAAGAGTGAATAACTCGTGCTCGAGCCGCACTATTTCCATCCTAGCCTCAGACAAGGAGTGCTTTAAAGCCTTACCTCCCTCCGTACCTTCCACATCCTTACCCTCCCCTTCCCCCTCGTCTGCACCTCCCCCTTCCTTGCTGCCCTTCGCCTCACCTTCCCCACCGTCGCCGCCGCCGTCGCCGCCGCTCGCGGCTTGCTGGCGGCGCCGCAGCCCTTCGGCTTCGAAGCGCGAGACGAAGAGGTCGTGCTGAAGACGCTGCACCTCCAGCCTCGCCTCGGCTAACTCCAACTCCACCTTATCCTTCTCGCCAGTCAGCCGCTCCACCTCCCCCGCTAGTTTCTCCGCCTCCCCCGCCGCGCCTATTCCGCGCGCCCCCCCGCGCCTGAGCGCGCTCCCCGCGCCCGCATACCCTCCGGCTCCGCCGCCAGCCCCAGAGGCATACTGCGGGGGAGAGCCGATGGTGGAGGGGGGAGCGCTGGTGTTACCAGTTACCACCACGCCGTTAGGACCGGGAAGCGGCTTCCCGCGGCCGTACTTAAAGCCGCGAGTGCCGTCGGGCCCACGTGGCTGGATTGGCTTGATGTCTTCGGAGAGGTGAGGGTGAGGGTGAGGGTGGGGTAGCGCTACGGACCTCGCTGCTGCTCGCCTAGCGTGGTAACCATGCGCGGAGGTTACGTCAGCGTTCGTAGCTGCTGAGACCTTGTCTGGCTCCTGTTGGCAGCAAAAAAAAAACAGCCCAAAGAGAAACAGCTTCAGATCCAAAATGCTTCAAATTACTGTAAAATACAACATCTACACGTAAAAAATTGTGAGCTATTTTACCTTGGTGGAATTAGGGCTGCCTTCGAATCCGGATCCATCAGGGCTAGACACCATCATCGCCTTTTCCTGAGCAGCTACGTTAGACTCGGTCGTCGTGGCCGCCGATGGGGTCATCACGGCCGACGGAGGAGTCACTAATTTGGACACTGGGGCGAAGCCCGGAGGCGGACTCACCATCCGATACATGCTTGCAAGGTCAGACTCAAAGGAGCAACAAAGGATAGGACAAACGGCAGGGGTGCGACTATCGCTTCTGAGAACCGCAGCAAGCTGACGCCTTAACCCGTCGGGATTAAGGTACGGATTTTTTTCCTCCACGACGGCTTGATATTACTTATATCTGCGATTGAAGTAACCGGCCTCGCAGTAGGGACTGAGCTGATAGGAAAAGGCTAATCCGTGCCAGTGACGGCCAGTACAACCAGCAGCTCAGCGAAGCCTGAAGGCGAGGGTACTGAAGCAAACCGGCAAAAAACAGCGGCGAACCTGCAGCCAAATATAGCTGAGATTACACGAAACTAGGAGCTTGTGGGGAAGCAGGAATCAGTAGCCAGATGTCAAGACTGGCTGATGTCAAGGCTGCAGCAAAGAACAGGCCTAGGGAACTGGGAAATTGGGAATTTGAGCTTGAAATTGCTGTGAAGATAAGGCAGGCCAGGAGGGGAACGAGCGGAGGGGAGGGGGGGAGTTGAGAAGGAAGCACGAAGATAGAATGAGAGAGAGCACGCGGCAGAATCAAGGGAGCACAGCTGTACAGTACAGTGCCTGAGGGGAACATTACTGCATAGGAAATGGCTAAATGCGTCAACCGAAGGAAGTTCGGTGATTAGGCGAAACATGCGAAAGACTTGGAATTTCGTCTCAGGGGAAGCTGGCGACAGAGAATTTTGCACTCTTTCGTGCTCTCCCGTTCGTGGCCGAACTGGTAAAGACAACCAATCAGTGCGCATACGGTGAGCTCCAGTGCCTGCCATTCGCTGCGTAAGTAAATTAGCCGAAAATCGCATGTCCTCTGTATAACTCGCAATTCGAAGTTGAACACCTCATGGTAGGCTTGTTGTGAAGTCTATTTTCATACATTAACTCATGATTCAAGTGCAACCCATATGTTGTCTAACGCACGTATTTTCTGAAGCCTTTATGTTAAATTCACCATATCATATTTGAAAAATCAGGGTGATGATGTAATCTAGCTTCAGAAGCCACTAATCACCCCCAAAATGCCAGCTTTAGAGACTCACACATATGATCATTTATACATCTTGTATTTCTAGTACAAGTCATATTCTCGTAGTGCAAACTCCAAGAACCTAAGAATGAGGCACTTAGCGCATATGGCGGTACGCCCCGGGCAAATTTACTTGTAGCGTTCCCAAGAAAGTAAGAGCGTTGTCGTATGCATAGCTGGCATGGGCGGGAACGCTGTCGTATGAGCAGCTGACAGGGGCGGGGATGTTATCGTTAGCTGTTACATGATCCACCTAGGCATGTCGCGAGGTGTTCGCATGGCATGTCCACTCTGAGTTTCAAGTGCGCACGAGAATTGATGTATCGCTACAAGAACAACACAAAATTTGACTTCACACCGTCAATTGATCCGACTACAGACAGACTCGAAAGTATGCGAAGTCAGGAACAGCAAATAACAACGTAAAGCATCGATCAAAACCACCAACATTTCAAAGCTACGGCACGCGTCGACTAGAAGGAGTACGTGACGGAACTCAACATGTTTTCGTCATCCTAGATGGTGTGTGTTGATTGGGCTAACGTGGTGTTTCCACGGCAGCCCGTGACTAGGTGGATCGCAAAGGTGAGATTTTTTTTTTTAGAGTGTGACACAGTGCGCTCGCAACTAGTTGTCGACCAATCAGGAGCGCATTGACTTGGAACACATGATTTCTAATGGTGGCGACAAATATTTTACATATTGGATGCGACTGTTTTCATTGGCCATGTGCGTACACGGTTGTTGCACCTAGCAAATAATTGAAGCTGAATTTTTATTTGTATTTTTTGCGCTAGTCGTAGTTGCACCAATTGCATATGACCTGTAACAACTTCATGGAGACTACACACATTTTCTCTTATTGGGTTCCATGGATTCTAAACGCGGCTCCCAAGCCTGCAAGCGGGAAAACTCTCAAACTCGGGAAAACGGGACATTGAAGGGGAAAACCAACAGTAAAGACTGTCACTATGTTACACAATCTCGCTCATGCAACAGGTGATTTGCACGTGCGACCTCCTGGCTCTGATTCTCGCAATTGTCGAAATACAACTTGATTGTTTCGCTATCGTTCAGCCAACGCAAGTCATGCTGAGAACCTGGTAGTGGGATTGCAATTTGGACTGTTCAAGATGAAACAATCAAAGGAGACAGGTGTATAAGGAATTGCTCGACTTGGACACAACGTGGAAAGGACCAAGCGTGCTAGCTTTTATGACGTGGAAAGATAATTGTGGACGTGATTGATGTGACTTCTGGAGTCACTTCTCTACTCATCGGCTGCCATTTGTCCATACGAATCCAATACGGCGCTGAACATCCAACCAAACCCAAGCAGAATTCCAGCAAGGCGAAGACCCAATGTGTAGAGCCAGCCTAGGTCGTGTTGGCTACACGTGAGAAATTTTGTCGGTACGTGAACATTGGATGGACTGTATGCAGCTTGTCGCTTTCAAGTCATCTCGGGTCATCGAAGGTAAACCGGGAAGGCTCATTTGTCTTTCCCCTTTACAGCAGGGCGCGCATTTTCCATGGGCATGCACATGCCCCAGAAATGCATTCTCGCATCCCCTTCACTCAATTTCGCGCCCTTCGCTCTCCTCCACTCCACTTCCACTTCATACAGAGGGTGTCCACTGCCCGACTTTAAAGCCTGAGTCTAGAATGGAAAAAAAAAAACCATGTTTACTGATCATGGAAACAGTGCCAAAAACACTGGACGAAAACAATTTCGGCAAAGCTCTCCTGGCTAAAAATACTTCTCAGCGAAAAAAAAGGGTCGCTCGCGACACAAAAGGAAACCAAAAACTTGTAATCAACAATGCGCAAACAGTGATGACTTTGGGGGTTGGGGGGCAAACTGTACAAAGCATTTCCCGCGCAGTGAGTCCCAGCAAAAAATGCGTCTAGAATGGTACCAGGCGTTTTCAACTTTAGTATGAGTGAACAGAACGTTCGAGGTTTGTCTCATGTAGCGAACTTCGCACGCTGCCCCATTTCCCCAGGGGTTGCGACGTTCTGGTCCCCTTTTCTAGGTTACCCCAACTTTTACGAAAGCAAGTTCAGGAATCCTGAACTTGATAGCCAACCAATGTAGACTCGGGCTTTAAATCACCTTGTTCACGAGTCGCGCTGGATGAATGCGGCTGGAATTATTCATCGGGGGGGGGGGGGGGGGGGGGGGGGGGTGCACTTCGGGACAGAATTGGGCTGGGCATTTTGCGGACATCCAGCCAGGAGAGAGCATCTGCTCAGCACGCTCTTGACCCAGCCTGACTGTACCCTTTCTGAGAGCAACGTTCTCTCACGCGGCTTTCACGTACAGTACCGAACAGTGCTCTTTCACGACACGTTGTCCATTGCGCACGGACGGGCTTCTGTTGGTCAATCCCCGTGCGAGCAGAGCCCATCCATCTCCTCTGCTCCTCTCTTCTTTCCTCCAGCCGCGCGGCTGTCGCATCCACACCACACCACACCACTTGCATTCCCTTTGACTCCTTCCTCCCAATCCACGACCAGCAATCTCCCTCTATAATCTCGCCAATCCTCTCCTCTCCTCACTCATGGTCAGTCTCTTTACACTTCTTGCTCCCACCTTCAGAACCATCCTTCCCTTCCCAGCCTTCCAGTCCTCTCTTCGGCGCGATTTTTTTCTTGTCTGTTTCAGTCCAACGAGGGGCCATCTACGTTCAGTCGAGGATTTTTCATGGCGGCTTCGTCGGTGGTCAGTCAAGGCGGCAGAGCCATGATGACGTCAACGCTCATGCCAGCAGCCTGTCAGCTCTCCTTCGCCCTCCTCCACGTCGCCCAACGCTGCGCCGCGGAGCGCGCCGCCAATCACACCGCAACACCGTGCGACGGCCACGTCATCCAGCGTCGCGTCGCTTCTCTTCCATCACTCCCGCTACAGTCGCTCCATTTTAATAATCGCCGCGACGAAAGTTGCGCTCAAGTCGAAGCGGTGGCGTGCTACGTGGCTTCCGTCAATCCCAGCGCGGCTTCGACCGTCCTCGCCGCCACTACCATCAGCAGTTCAATCGCAGTCTCTCGCCCTCCTGCGCTTGCCACTGCTATGGGGACAGCTGCTGACAGCGCGAATGCTGCTTCTTGGACCAACATTTTGAAGGATGCCACTTTTTCCGGCGCTTTCAGCGCATGTCAATTAGCCCCCGCCATATCGTTTCCGCATCCGCCGCCGACGCAGCCGAACGAGCACCCGAGCCTGGAAAAGAGCTTCGACGCGTTCAACTGTCCCAGGAAATTCCGGACCTCGACAATTTTGCCCTTGCACGCCGCGCCTCGGACAGACCCTCTCAGCAGCGACAGACTCGGGAAGAACACTCCAACCCTCGTCGGGTACTTTGAACATCCCATTCCCTTGGGGTCGTATTCTTCGGCCAATTCCCCAGCCAATGTGCGGTGCTCCTTTGCGGCTTCTGCTGTGCAGAGCTCTTGGGCCGGTCCTGCAGCAGCCATGGCTGGGAGAATAACGGAGCCTGCAATTGCCCTTCCGGATCGTGAGAGCGGAGGATGTGCCTCCCCCAGCCTGGCTAAACAGTTTGAGAATTTTCACGTGGCGAGGAACAAGGTGCGAGCCTCCATCCGCGTGTCTTTTCCTAGGTCGGAAGGGGGATTCGCCAGTTCTGCGGCTAGCCAGCAACCTTCTGAAAACCAAGAGGACTCCTAGCCTCATCTTTACTTGCCCAAAAAAATAATGCTGGGCTTTGAAGGGCATTCAATAAACATAGTCTAGAATGGTAGTGCCTGGACTAGCATGGCCACTCTAGCTAGCTATAGAGGAGGTTACACCGGCAAGATTAGTGAAGGCGCTGCATATGGTTTATTTGTAGGATATGTTGAGTTTTGCCCTTCACTCTTCCCTAAATGTATTGATAGCTGGATATGTTTAAAACTGGGTTACTGGCTAAGCAAGGGTTTTCGCGTGTGCTGCACGAAGAGGGGAGCAGGAAACTGCACCGCATGGTACATCCTCATTTCACCACCTACTCCACGAAACTGGTTACCACAGTCACCCCTAGCGAGCCTCGCAAACGCGACAGACAATATAACCAGAACAACAACCATGCATATCTGCAACTTCGCGTATCGCGACACTTTGTGATGTTCTTTCAGGATCGCATGGAACGTGCGCCTCGCAATGTTTTCGCGATTCTCGGGATTGCCGACCTGATCGTTTCGAACCGAACCCAGAAAACTGCCACAAATGGGGAACTCCCAGCCAGCTGTTACTTCTCTTGTCCCCTTCTCTTCCCCCTTGGGATCATCACCTTCGACTTCTGTTCTAGTCAGCCGAACCAGCTGCACCAGCCACCACCCACGCATTCTGACCAACTCTGCTATGAATTCCTCGATTCCATCCACAACTTCATGCTTAGTTACACAACAGTTACGATCTCGGAGCTCCGAGGTGCTTAAAACCTCAAATCCTCGCCTAGTATGCGTGCCTGGACCCCACTCTGGGTCTGCTCACGCGTGCCATCCCGCGCGATCCACTCCCTGCGTCCCTAGCGCAGGCATTCGCCTGCGCGGAAAATGCACTTTTCTCATCTCATCCTCGTCATGTCACTCCTCGCCTTCCCTCAGCCGTCGATCCCTTCCTCCCAAGCCCCAAAGCCTGCCACGTCACCTCTCTGGCTACTCAACGCACGCCCGTCTGGCCTTGTCAGCGTCACTCCGCTCTTTACCAGCTCCGTCGGCAGCTCCTTCGGCAGCTCCGTCGGCAGTTTCAGGAGCCGATCTAGGAATTCCGAACCTCTCGCTAGAGCCGCCGAGCTGCGTACCCGCCAGCATGTCCATTCGGTTGGAGAAACCATGGCTTCTGGGATGGCCGTCGAGCAGAGCGTCCGTACGAACAGGGATCCCCGGGAGATTGTGACTGTAGACGAGGCGATGGCTGTGACTGTATGGAAGAGAAAGGCCTCCATGAAAGTTTCTGCTAGTGCTGGTGCAGCTGGTGGTAATGATGGTGTGGCAGGTGATACTCCTACTGCTGTAGCCGCTGGAGCTTCGGATGCAACTGACCAGGTTCTGCCGATTAAGTACCATGGCGGGAAGCTGATGACTCGGCCAATCACAGTGTACCTGATCTTCTATGGCTCGTGGCGCAAGAGTCAGATGCAAATAGTTAAGAACTTCGTCCGATCGCTCTCCAACACGTCAGCCACGCCCAATGTAAGGAGTAGGATGTCAGCGTGCGTCCCATGCACCTACCATGCATCATTTCATGCTCGTTTCTGCACTTACCATGCATCATCCCATGCTCGCTTCTGCACCTACCATGCATCATGCCATGCTCGCTTCTGCACCTACCATGCATCATCCCATGCTCGCTTCTGCACCTACCATGCACCATCCCATGCTCGCTTCTGCACCTACCATGCATCAATCCATGCTCGCTTCCGCACCTACCATGCATTCAATGCTGCATGTATACGAAATTTGGCGCTGACATGGATGGCAGGAGGGGGATCTGGTGAGAGTGGCCGATTGGTGGAGGATCAACACGTGGTACACACAGAAAGGCAAGAAGCGAGTGACGTCACAGGTGAGCCTGCATCAGCTAGAAAAAGGTTGCTGTTCTTCTTATCCTTAACAAAACGCCTCCTTCTGCTCCCCTCTTTTTCTCTCACACCTATAACTTCTTATTTATCCCATGCTTGCTGTCTCTGCACCTACAGGTCCATCTGGGAGGGGCTGTGCGGGACAGGTACTCTCAGGGGAAGGTCGTATCTAACGACATGCAAGGAGTATGGAACAGTGAGAAATTTAGCACCACTTACAGCCATACGCACCCAATGTAGTCACAATCTCCTCATTCCAATTATGACCCTCTTCCTCGCTTTTCTCTCGTGATAGTCACTTTCCATCCTCCCATCTCTTCGTTACTTTACCAGCTTCTCCCTTACCCCGTATTTTCCTCTTCCCCAATGTTCTCCTTTTCTATACTTATCTCTTCTCCCCTAATCCTCATACAGTCGTTGCTGCCCAATTAGCCAACCGAACCTTCCCCCGATCCTCTCGAGCCCAGTACCTCGTCCTCTCCAGCTCCGACGTCAGGTTCGGATCCTCCCGACCCAACTCCGGCTTCTGCCGAACCTACTGCGGGTGGCACTCGTACGTGGAAGTCTCCCGGAAGCTTCTCAAGTATGCATTCGTGGGGAACGCGGAGGAGCAGTGTCCCAGCGGTTGCAGGAGGGGGTTCGGGAAGCGGGGGAGTGCGAATGGGTGGAGAGGGGTGGATGGGATGGTGAGCATAGTGGGGCACGAGATTGCCGAGGCTGCCACGAATCCGAGGTTCACTGGAGGGTGGTTTGATGACGATGGGGAAGAGAATGCAGACAAGTGCCAGGTGCGTTAAGGAGGGGAGGGGGAGGGGGGAGGAGGGGATGGGATGGTGAGCATAGTGAGGCACGAGATAGCTATGGCTGCCACGAGATGAGGAGTGAGGGGTGGGAAGGCGAGGGGGGGGGGGGAGTGGATAAGGGATAGGGAGGGGGGGAGGAGGGAAACAGAAGGGGGAGGGAGTGGGGGGGTGGGGGTTGGAGGTGGGGGAGGGAGCAGTGAAGGACGATTGGTTGATGATAGGGTACGTATGGTAGGAAGTAGCTTCTTGTTCGTTGTTCCTCAGCTCTCATCTCCACGCTTTCCCTTATCCTCCCCACCTCTCATCTCCACGCTTTCCCTTATCCTCCCCAGCTCGACGTTGGCCGTGCCAGCAGCATCAGGACGGTGGGGGACAGCTACGCCGACAACCTGCTGATGTGCTCACACTCAAATCCCCTGCCCTGGCCCCTCCCGTTCCTCCTCACCGTCATTCCGCTCCCTGTCCTCCCCTCCAGCTCGACTTTGGCCCAGCCAGCAGCATCAGGACAGTGGGGGGCAGCTACGCCTACCATGGTGTAAGGCATTCACACTGAATTACCTGTCCCCACTCCCCCCCCCCCTTCCCTATTGTCCTCCTCTTCCCTGCCCTCTCCAGCTCGACTTTGGCCCTGCCAGCAGCATTAAGACAGTCGGGGACAGCTACGCGTACAACATGGTCGGGCAGGGCGGCATGCGCTGGCTTATCCAGTCAAACTGGCGGCCGGGCGGCGGGGGAGGAGGATGTGTGCTGCAGGGGCCGAGTGAAGCAGAGGTGGAGGAGTGGGAGAGGGAGGCGAGGGCGAGGGCGGAAAGGAGGCGGAGGAAGAGAGTGAGTGGCACAGGTCTCAGTGGCACGGGTCCCACAGGAACAAGTCTCACTGGAACAGGTCTCAGTGTCACCATGCAGGGGCCGAGTGAGGCAGAGGTGGAGGAGTGGGAGAGGGAGGCGAGGGCGAGGGCGGAAAGGAGGGGGATGAAGAGAGTGCGTAAGCCTGTCCCAAGGGTGGCAGATAAGGTGCTTGCAAGCAGAGGGGGGCTTTTGAGTCTACTGGAAAGCAGAGAGGGTCGGCTGGAAAGCAGAGAGGGGGGTGGATTGGATGAGGTGGACGGAACAGACAACAGAGAGTGGCACAGGGCTCGCTGGCACCAGCAGCACCAGCAGCAGCTGCACCAGCAGCACCATGCAGAGAGATGCAGATAAAGTAACCTGTTGGATTATCATCAGAATGCTCTGCTTTGTTCAATCGTTCGTGCATTTGTTCAATCGTTCATGCATGTGTTCAATCGTTCATGCATTTGTTCATTCGTTCATGCATTTGTTCATTCGTTCATGCATTTGTTCAATCGTTCATGCATTTGTTCAATCGTTCATGCATTTGTTCAGTCGTTCATGCATTTGTTCAGTCGTTCATGCATTTGTTCATTCGTTCATGCATTTGTTCAATCGTTCATGCATTTGTTCAGTCGTTCATGCATTTGTTCATTCGTTCATGCATTTGTTTATTCGTTCATGCATTTGTTCATTCGTTGAATGCCTTCTCCTTTCAGAATACCCATGCATGCTGTATCAATAAACCTTACATATATTGTAGTGCATACTGCATACACTGGAGACTGCCTGGCAGGCACCACAAACACCCCAGGCACAAGGCTGGCTATACAAGGTAGAGAGGACGGTATGGTCACAGGTTTAAAAACTAGCTCCAGGACTTGCTTGCCTTACCTGGGAGCACCCCCCTTAGCAGAGCAGGACGACGAAGGCAGGCTGGCCTAACAACTTTTAACCCCCGCTTTCACTCCTATGCCTCCAGCACGATCCACCACACGTGATTGTTCCTCCACCAATCTACTTGACCTCCAACCTTCACCGCTGTGACTCGAGCACGTTCCACCACGACGTGTCTCGGTGCCCCGTGCTTCCAGAGCTCTCAGTTGTCCCTGCGGGCGACGGGTCCGTGCGCTTCCTGTTCTTGCGCTGCTGCCGCCGCTCATTCCTCTGCCACACACACACACACACACATGCACATGCGCCAGGTCAGATAAGATGATTCGTGGACTTGAAGGGGTGGACGGTGGGGGTGGAGGGTGGGAGAGTATGTGGCAGATGAGATGACATATGAAGCATGACGTAACCACTCAATACTAACACCCTGAGAGACGAACGAAGACCATGTCCTCACCTTGAACATTTGTAGGGAAACTTCCGTGAACCCGCCAGCCTCCTGCGTGCCAGACCTAGCCATCAGGTCCGTCACCCAGGCCTCAGGCTCCTCGCCCTCAAAATGCGCAGGCTTGGGCACAAACAGCCCATTTCTGATCTCCTTCAGCAGCCTCGCCTCCCGCATATGGAAGAATGGGTGTGCAAGCGCCGCCTTCGCATTGATCCTCTTCCGCCCTTCTTTCCTCAACATAGCCTCCAACAACCCCCAGCCATGGCCGCCGTTCTCGTCTAGCAACTCCAGGCGCCGCATGTCGTCGGCCGTGGCTCGGGTTTCGAGCTTTTCGCGCCAGGCTTTGAGGTCGTAGTCGAGCTTCTTGAACTGGCGGGTGAAGGACGCGAGCCCGGTGTCGGAGCGGTAGGCAGGGAAGACCATTTGGAGGAACATGAGGCCCGCGCTGTACATGTCAAAGCGGTCGGGATGATTCATCTGAAGAAGGGAGTGGAGGGAAAGGGAAGGGACGGGGTTGGTTACTTACAAAAAGCAGAGGCAAAAAGGGGCACGTGATAGAAGTATAGTTTTGAGGCGCCTCAAAATGAGCATGCGTGCTTCTGGCAAGGAGAAACAAGGACAGAGATTTTGTGCTTACAGGTTGAGGACGGGGCGGGCGGGGGGGGGGGGGGAGGGAGAGGGGGGAGGGAGAGGGGGGAAAAGGGGAGTGGTTACCTGCCAGAGGATGGGTGCAAGAGCAGCGGCGACAGGTGCGGGAGGCGCGCTGGGTGTTTGGGTGCTCATGATGTACTCCTCTGGCGCTGCGTAGCTGTGGGGGGGGAAGAGAGTACAGATAGAGAGGGGAGGGTAGGGATGAGAGGACGGAAGCGGAACGCAGAGGAGAGGAGAGGAGCAGAGCTGGTGTTTGGGTGCTCATGAGAGAGAGGAGGGGAAGGGGGGGGGGGGGGGGGAGAGAGAGAGAGAGAGAGAGAGAGAGAGAGAGAGAGAGAGAGAGAGAGAGAGAGAGAGAGAGAGAGAGAGAGAGAGAGAGAGAGAGAGAGAGAGAGAGAGAGAGAGAGAGAGGAGTAACGGTTGAGACGAGGAGGTTGGGAAGTGGAGAGAAGAGAAGACGAGGGGAGTAGATTGGTTGTTTGTGTACTCATGCTGCACCGAAATCTCAAATTCCGACGAGCTTACAGCGGGGCTTCGTACTTACCGCGGGTCCAGCAGGTACTGGTCGGGGTCGTAGTTAATCCCCACTCGCAGGTCGGCGGCGGCGCCCAGGTCGATGATCTTGAGCGCGCCCTTGTCCTTGCAGTAGATCATGTTCTCGGGCTTGATGTCGCGGTGCACGATGCCCTGGCTGTGCAGCTTCTCCAGAGACGTCAGCAGCCGCCGCATGATCTCCCGTGCCACTTGGAGCTCTCTCTCGGGGCCACGTGGCTCGTCCACCGGCGCGTTCTTGCCGAAGAGCGTCTGCTCGATCTGCACATTGCCATAACGGCCAGTCGCGAGAGAAAGAGAAGGGGCGAGGGGGTCAGAGAAGGGGTCTCGTTAGAGAAAGGGTTGTTGGACGCCTAAGAACAGATTCATGCCGAACAGCCCCCGCTCGATCTGCACATTGCCAGAACGGCCAGCCGCGAGAGAAAGAGAAGGGGCGAGGAGGCGGTGGGGCGAGGAGGATTCGGAGAAGGGGGTTTGGGACGGCAAGCAAATACGGCGAAACGAAGGCGGTGTTTCACCTTGTTGCCGAAATAAGCCGCCTACTTAGTAGACGCGGCGTGGTCGCGGCGTGGTGTGAAGAAGTCAAGGCAAAATCACCGGCGAAGAGGACCCGTAACTTGCTGTCGATAGTAGGCGCCTATTAACTCACGTTGTAGGGATAGTCGCGGAGTGACAATGAAGACACAGGCGCTTTTTTAACTCACGTTGTACGGGTAGTCGCGGTCGACGAGGACATCTGCAAACGTCGAGTCGCCTTCGTACTTCCACACCAGCCACACCTCGTCCGACGTGGCAGCGGCAGAAGACGATGGATCCATCCAGCCAGTCTTCTTCTTTCCCGCCTTTTCCATGAACCCGCCCAGGAACTCCGCGCACACGTCGGGGCACGCGCGCCGCACGCGCTCGTTCATCCAGAGCTCCACGTCACCGAACTCCGTGGCGCGCTTCACGATCACCTGGTAACCCGGATCCTTCGCGAGCGTCGCGAGGTACACCGATCCGAACCCGCCCTCGCCGATCTTCTTCCCAAGCACGAGATCCGACTTCTTGTACGATTTGCGGAAAAAGCGGTCGATCTTAGCGAGGACGAACATATCCCAATAGCCCGCCGCGACTCCCGGCGTGGCCCAGAGGTACGCGCCGACGTTCAGGAGAATCGCCACGCCGGCCGCCGTCAGGTGATGCGTGTGCGGGAGCGTCGACATGTAGATCGCGTCGCCGCACTCCATGACGTTACAGGGTAACCCGAGTCCCAGGGCGAGGGTCATTAGCGAGTTAACGTCGTGCGGCCCCACGTCGCCGACGGATTTCACGGCGGTTACAAGCGCGTCGAGCCCGTCGGGGCCCAGGCCCGCGCCGCCGGTGAGATCGCATCGCGCGGTGAGCGCACCGCCGCGCCTGGTGGCGTGTTTGGCGGAAAGTTGTTGCGCGGCGGCGCGGCGAAAGCGCTGAGTGGCCGGGGAGGATCGGAGGAAGGGAGTCGGGCTCCCCGGCGATGCGCGGGTGAGAAGGAAAGGTATCGGTTTTGCGCGGCGGGCAATCGGGGTGAGGCGACAGCGCGTTGTCACGGCTGGTGCGGAAGATAACAGGAGACGCGTTGACACCGTCGCCGCCATGGCCAGCTATTGACGATGATGCCCAATGAGAGTTATATTCTGGAAGGTGTATAGTAGGAGGGATCAGGCGCTGGGCCTGGATGATCTGGCAAGGTCGTGTAAAGGCGTTGAGTGTGGGATAGAAGCAACTGAAGGATTTGAGTTGAGTCACAAAGAAACTGAGAACCACATCAAGCCTTTATGCTAAGATGTGTGACGTGCCTGATGAGAGCGGCGAATTCGCCTCGTAGCGAGCTGGCGAGATTAGCTTCTATTCGGGTGGGAGGGGAAGGGGAGTGAGGTATGGCGGGAGAGGTGCGGGGAGACGAGGGAGGTTCGGAGGGGGTTTGGGGGGGAGGGCGGGGGTGTTTGAGGTATGGGCTTGGGAAGCTAGGCCTGATACCGTACTGTGTGAGGGAGAGTGTGGTTCTGGACCGTACCGAACCGTAGTGTGAGAAGCGAGAGCTGGGTGCGGCAGGGAGTTTGGTTAGGTGGTTGGTCGGGGAAGTTGAGAAGGGTGCGAGGTGAGCGCGGTTGATTCGGTTGACTGGACTCTGGAGGTGGCACAATGTATGTGCGACCCCTGAACGAACAGCGGGAGGCACGTTGCTCAGGCGTGTGGTGGACATTTTGCACCCAGATGCGCTCCGGTTACGATGTCCGAACCAATATCTCAACCTGGAGGTTAGCCTTTATCCGCCCGGAGGAAGCTTGGCTTGGGTAACCCGTAGCGCGATCTAGCCCAACCCAGCAATTTGTCCGAGGCTGGTCGTGCAGTTCCGAGCTTCGGAAATGCGAGCCGCGTTTCAAAGTGCAGCCTGGGCGAAAGTGACGAGGAAACGGGAAGAGCGTGTGCCCTGGTCAGTTGCACGGATCGGACCAATGAGCTGCGTTTTGTTTTCGTGCGTCGGACTGGTGAAATCAACCTCAGCCACGCTTGATGATTCGACATAGTTGCGTGGAAAGGTCGCAAGGCGAAGTCGGTAGGTTGAAATTGCTGAGCTGTCATTCCACGCAGCGAGTTGCTGGAACTGTGCATTTTTTACCCAAGGAAAGAGATTTCAAATATCGGGGTCGAAAAGATTTTGCGGCTGACAGGAAGAGTGCACTTTTTGAACCCAGTCCACGTCATATTGGTTAATCTCGGTGGGGACCAGCGCAGAAAGCCTGAGGCTGCTCCTCGTTGGCAAGGCGACGTGAACCTTTTTCTCACCAATGCAGCGCTGGCGAGTGCGTTGGGAGTTGTTGTGGAGGGAATAGCTTCACCTGACGTGGGCTTGCTTGAAACTGTGATGTTACTGGTGGCTTCAAGCCACACATTCCTCCAGGCGAAATGATCATCCTTCGCTCCTCATCAACTGCCCGCAGCCGCGATATTGCTAGAGCCACGGCTTTCGCTGTGTCAGCAATGCTGTCGTGACAGCGCACACTGAACCGCAAATCCTGTAAACTGAAGTAACGTTTGCACAACATACCATACTTCACCGTTCTCAATGATTCTATGACAGCTCTAGAACGTGAAACATCGTACTTCACCGTAATTGGACACACTTTAGTGACACGCCCGAACAGGTGTAACTTGGTTTTCTTACTGCCTGTGAAGAGGCTCTCAACAACCACCCTTCAACTACAATACATACCCACTAATCTAAAGCTATGAGGAAGGGGGTTAGCATCATCTTGGACTAACCTAAAGCTGGGGGTATAAAACTTTCAACTCTTTATTTGCACATCATATGATGATGACTACCGTGGCTGCACATGGGGATGCCATGCGGTACTGCCAGGGTTTTTCAGCGAGTAGTTCCCATGCCTATCTTTGTATGGGGCTTGCATCTTCATGACTAGCTGTTCATTTGCCTAGATGCCTGCAATTATGTAGGCACGCTTTAATCGATTCATGCATGTATAACTGCTACCCCCCACACTCATGTGAGCGTAGTGTAGAGCTCATCAATCACTGCTTGATACTTGGCCTGCATAGGGGGTAGGACACAAAGAAAACCCATAAAGACCAGCATGGAAGCAAACTTGCACACAGTTACTCACATGCACAGAACAAAGCCAAGTCATGGGAGCAGACTGGGTTATATGTGTCATGAAATGCAATGCAAGAAATGGGTTGAAATAAACAAGAAAATTACTGGGGCAGACGAGCTTGTGTGCAAGAAAGCCAAGGAAAACACCCGTTGGAATGAACGTACACCATGGACACAGCACTGCGAGCTGCATGCTGAGCGTGGGTCGGGGGCGATTGATTGAGCTTGAAGCAGGGAGACACGAGCCTGCCTCGCCTGCAGCTTGGTGCCTCAAAACTAACCGAGCTTGGGGCGCTTGAGCTTTAAGGAGGGCGTCATGAGGTCATTGTCAGTAGAGGAGAAGGCCTCAGCCTCCAGAGCCTTAAGTTAGGCAGCCGCCGCACACTAGCTGCTATGCTCAACTGGCGCTCACCCTGAGTTTGAAACCAGGCAGTCACAGCAAGACCCACCTTGAGCTTGGGGCGCTTGAGCTTGAAGGAGGGCGTCATGAGGTCGTTGTCAGTGGAGAAGGCTCAGCCTCCAGAGCCTTAGGCTTGGCGGCTGGCAGGTGCACACCAGCCCCAGTCCTCAACCGACACCCACCTTGAGCTTGGGGCGCTTGAGCTTGAAGGAGGGCGTCATGAGGTCGTTGTCGGTGGAGAAGGCCTCGGCTTCCAGAGCCACGCCCCGCACCACCTCAAAGCCCTTCATGCTCGTCGCCTTGGCTCGCTTCACCAGCTCAATCAGCACGTGCTCCCTTGCGCCGGGGAGGGCACAGCTGTTGGTGTTGGGGAGGAGGGATATTTGGAGGAAAGTGAGCCGGTGACCACTTCAAAGCCCTTCATACTCGTTGCCTTGTCGCGTTTCACCAGCTCACTTAGTCGTGCTCCCTTGCGCCTGGGTGGGAGGGCCCAGCTGCGAGTGGGAGAGATGAGGGTTGGTTTCGCAATGGGGGTCAAGTCAAACCTCAAGAGCCATCCCCCTGCGCCACCTCGAAGCCCTTATGCTTGTCTCTTTGGCGCGCTTCACCAGCTCACCCAGCACGTGCTCCCTTGCGCCTGGGAGGGCACAGCTGTGAGTGGTGTGTTGAGGATGTTGTGGTCGGGAGGAGAGGGGTTAGCACGGGGCACGGATAGTCCGTCTCAAACCCCTTCATGCTCGTCTCCTCGGCCATCTTCACCAATTCGCCCAGCACGTGCTTCCTTGCTCCTGGGGGGGCACAACGGTGAGGGGGGGGAGACGGGGAGTGGGGACAGCAGCAGGGGTAGCGGAGGGGAGGGTTGGGGTGGCAGAATACTGCAGCAGCAGAGCGGGGATGGAGGGTCAAATGATTGGGACAGCTGAACAGAAGTTCCTAGGCTAGGCAGAGACGCTCACTGGTCAGTGAGAGAGACAGACAGTTAGGAGACAGCAAGCAGAGCAGACACACTAGACTCTCAGGTCAGAGATGCTTAGAGAGACAGCAGGTAGAGCAGGCAAGGCAGAGACGCTCACAGGTCAGTGAGAGAGACAGGCTGCAGGCAGTTAGGAGACAGCAAGCAAGGCAGACACACTACACTCACAGGCCCCTCTTTAGGGGTTCTCAGGCATGCTTAGAGAGATGGAAGGCAGGGCGGGCACACTCACAGGTCAGCGAGCGAGGCAGCCGCAGCCTCGTCAGCAGAGAGGGCCCCTGATGACGTGGCCCAATCAGAGAGCACGTCCTTCTCTGGCACCACCACCGCCACGAGTGACGACTTGAAGCTGAGAGGCGGGACGGAGGGCAGGGTAAGAGCACGGTATGGGACGGGGGACGGACGGGACGGGTGAGAGCACAAGGGCAGGAAAGCGTGTGGGACAACGTGCGTGTGGGGGCGATAGCACGTGGGAGAGAGTTGATTTCCCAAACCGCCCCACTCGAATAGAAGCAGTGAGCATCTCACCTGTTGCCATACACGACTACCTGGCCCACCACAGCAGCACCCCTGTACAGCACCTCGAGCTTCTTTGGAGTCGACTCAAGAGAAATCCGCCTCACTCAACTGGCAGTGAGGATCTCACCTGTCGCCATACACGAATATCTGGCCCACCACAGCAGCGCCCCCATACAGCACCTCGAGCTTCTCTGCTGCCACGTACTGCAGGAGGGGAGACGGACGGGAGGAGGGGAGATGGAGGAAGCGACAAGAAAGGAGAAAGTGTGTGTTGCCATTGCAACACCCCCATACAGCACGTTAACCTTCCCTCCTGCCACGTACTGTGGTACGGGTGGTGTGAAGGCATGCGTGATCATCATTGGTCTGCTGAGCTGATATTTGCATCCGACGTTACCGATCCGGAATACTGCCTGGAATACTGCCTTGCCAGCGCAGTAAGAAAGTGGGATCCAGGCTCATGTATGCTGACATGGGAGTGTGATGTCCCTTCTTCCTGCCCCCTCTCCCCACCCTATGTCTCACCCACGAGTTCCTCTCCTCCCTCACCTCGCCCCCCTGAGCCTCATAATTCCCCCCCTGAGCCTCACCTCGTCTCGAGCCTCACCTCTCCTTGTGCGAGCTTGAAGATGCTCTTCTTGCGGTCGATGATGGTCAACGATGGTCAACGTGCCATCTACAATGCACCCATCAGCCCCCCTGAGCTCACCTCGCCCTGTGCGAGCTTGAAGATGTTCTTCTTGCGGTCGATGATGGTCAACGTGCCATCCTCGTTCACCTGCATGCATCAACCACGCACACACCAACCATGCACACACCAACCATGCACCATCAAGAGTGGACACGTGAACAGTGCACAAGTGAACAGTGCATGCCATGGAGAATGCACCCACGAACGTGCACCGCGGGCGATCCAATGCAGTTCTTGCCCACAGAGGAGTGAAACAGAGCTTTGAAACCCCCTGAGACCGTCTCACCTACCCGAATATCCTCTCACCTGCCGGAATATCCTCTCACCTGCCGGAATATCCTCTCACCTGCCCGATGTCTCCTGTGTGGAACCATCCATCGCTGTCGATGACCTCAGCTGTCATCTCCTCCTGCTTGTAGTACCCCACCATAACTGACGCCCCCCTGAAACAGATCTGAGGGGCACAGGGAGGGGGGGGGTTCAGATGGTGAGGAATGAGGAGTTTTGATGGGAGGGTTGTATCTGCTCCTGGTTGTACTTCCCCACCCTCACTGACGCTCCCCCGAAACAGATCTGAGCGGATCTGAGGAAGGAAGAGAGGAAGGAACAGGAGGACGGGTGTGGGTAGGTAGGGAGGAGAGGGGGGTCAAGTTGTCAATCTCAACCTGCTTGTAATACCCACCATCACAGACGCGCTGCAGAAACAGATCTGAAGCGCACAGGAGGGGGGGGAAAGGGGAGCTCGGATGGTGGGAGATGGGGAGTTTAGACAGGGGTGTGTCGTCGCCTCCTGCTTGTAATACCCCACCATAACAGACCTGACAGAATCGAGGAGAGGAGGAGGAGGAGGAGGACGGGGTTTGGTCAGCGGGTGGGGGATGTGGGGCAAGGACGGAGGAAAAGCAATCATTTCCTGCACCAGACATCCTAACTCTGTAAGTAACCGAAATGCAATACCCCTGACTGGCCTAGTTCCCCTAATCCTGTATGGCTCTGTTCCGTTGATTCCGATCTGCCCACCTCGCCGCTCTACATTCTTGAGGAGTCTATTTTTGAGGCGCCTCAAAAATAGACTAATCTTGTATGGCTCCGTTGATTCAGATCTGTCCACCTCGCCGCTCTACATTCTCGCCCCCCCACCCTCACCTCTCCCCTGGGCCGGGGCTTGTCAGTGGGCAGGTACTCCATCTCAGGCACTGGTGCCAGCTTCATGTCCACAGACGGCTGGGGGGGACCCACGTGGCCTCTGGGGGAGGGGGGAAGGGGGAGAAAAAATGGGGAAGGAGCGTGAGGAGGGCATGGGAGGGAGTCAACACACGTGCTTCGTTTTGAGGCGCCTCAAAGGAAGAAATGCGGAAGAAGCGCACGCATGGGAGGGAGTCAACACACGTGTTTCTAGTCATGTGGGCAGATACTCCATCTGCTATCTCCATGTCCACTCACGGCTGGGGGGGACCCATGTGGGGTCTGGGGGAGGGGGAAGGGATGAAACGCGGGGGAGGAAAGGGGGAAGAAGCTGGGGGATGTGAGTCAACACAGGACCCGTCACACACGTGCGGCTTGTCAGTGGGCAGGTATCGCCATTCCCCTCACCGCTGCTAGCTTCATGTCCACGGACCACCGATGGCTGTGCGAGGGGGCAGGGAAGGAAAGAGGGGGAGAAGGAAAGCAGAAAGGTGGAAGGTGACAAGCGAATGAGCACACAGATGACACGAGTCTCACAAGTTGCATTCAGGCACACAGGTGCATCCAGGCACTGCTGCTAGCTTCTTCCCTACAGATGGTTGTGTGAGGGGTTACTGGGGGGTCAAGAAGAACAACTCGCGTGCTGAGGTCCTCAAAGGCCGTGATGGTTCCTGCTGCACTCGCCTCAGACAGGCGGGAATTGTACCATTTGACAAGTCAGACGAAGGGCAGGGGATTGAGAAGAGTCTATAGCTTTGACAAGGTATAGACTCGAGTGTGGCTCACGTGTTGGGGTCCTCCAGGGCCGTGATGGTTCCCGCTGCACTCGTCTCAGACAAGCCGTAGCCCTGGCGGTAGAGTTATGGAGAGACAGGGGAAGGGGAGGAAAGACCAGGGGGGGGAGGCAGAGAGCGGGGGAGGCAGAAAAGGCAGCTGGGAATGATGGTTCCCGCTGCACTCGTCTCAGACAAGCCGTAGCCCTGCCAATGGGGTGGGAGAGCAAAGGGGCAAAAGAAGGGGCAAAGAAGGGGCAAAGAAGGTACAGAGAAGGTAGCCGGAGGTTGAGGCAGACAGCACAGGGACGCAAGTGATAGTAAGGAAGGATGAGAATAAAGGAAGAAATAAATGTGCGGGCGTTGGAAGACGCATAGGAACACAGGGTTAAAAGGGGTGTTTGCTGTAAGATTGGACATGGGGGGGTGTTTGCTGTGAGATTGGACATGGGGGGTGTTTGCTGACTGACCTGAAGGGCGGGGCAGCCGAAAGCTATGGCAAGGAACTGCAGGGAGGGGAGAGGAGTGGGGGATGGGAGGAGAAGGGGGGGAAGGGTAGGATAGGATAGGAGAGGATAGACGATGTGTGACAAGGGAATGTGATGCACACACAACAGGCTCTGTGGTACAGCGTACTCATGGCATGGTCGGTGGGGCAAACAGACAGGCACAGAAACGCACACGCGGGCAGACAGAGACATAAGCACATGCGAGCATGCACACACACATACACGTGCACACAGTCGCGCACACGCACTGCTCTACTTCGTCCTCCCACCTGCTGGGTGGCCGCACTGATGGAAAATTCCCGAGAGAATGACCCAGCAGCACTCACCAACGCGCCCGCGTGCATGCCAACCAACACACACGCACACACACACATACACACCCACCAAGCTAATCTTAGTCCCCCACCTGCTGAGTGGCCGCACTGATGGGAGCACCTCCCGAGAGAATGACCTGGCAGCGCCCTCCCACACGCTTTTGCACCTGACGGGCGCACAGCCAGCACAGGGAGGGAGAGGATTTTTGAGGCGCCTCAAAAATCGCACAGCCAGCACAGGGAGGGAGAGGATTTTTGAGGCGCCTCAAAAATCGCACAGCCAGCACAGGGAGGGAGAGGGAGGACGAGGGAAGAGTGAGTGAGAAGATGGAGAGAGGAGAAGAGCATGGGACAAGCAAAAAGACACGCAAGGAGGGAAGAGCAGAGCGGGAGGGCAGTACAAGAAAAAGCTGGCTTCCTCCGTCGCACCTTCTTGAAGGTGTCGTGGGCCTTGTTGAGCACCCGTGGACCCGTGGTGGTCCTTTTTTCACACGCTTCTCCTACTCAAGAGACCCACCCACCCACCCTACCATTTCAGCTAGCTTTTAGTTAAGTTCAGTCGAGGGCACAAGGCTTGCTGCGGTTCGAATCCGTCAAATTCTCTGCAAGAACACGGGTGTCGTGGACCTTGTTGAGCACTCGTGGCACGCCGCATAGCACCACCCACCAATAGCCACCCCCCGGGTGGTAACGCCCCCATTATGGGATGGTAACAGCACCCACTGTCTCACCTTTTTGAAGATGAGAGTGTGGAGTATATTTTTGAGGCGCCTCAAAAATAGACTCCTCACGCATGGTAACAGCACCCACTGTCTCACCTGTTTTAAGATGAATGTCCCAGAATGGCAGCACTTTGAAGCCACCCCCCCCTTTGAGCACTTTGGCGCTCTCCTGGATGACGGTGTTGAAGAGGAAGCGCTTGAGTGGGGATCCTGCCTCCTCCTGTTGTTGAACACCCCCGGCACTCCAAACAGCACCACCCATTGCTTGCACCTACCTCGCATAAGGGCCAAAAGGCCCTTCTGTCTCACCTTTTTGAAGATGAGGGTGTCCCAGAATGGGAGCGCCTTGAGGCCACCCCCCGCCTTGAGCACTTTGGCACTCTCTTTGATGGCGGTGTTGAAGAGGAAGCGCTTGAGTGGCGATCCTGCCTCCACCTGCTGCAGCACCTTGTCATGGACCTTGTTGAACACACGTGGCACTCCGAACAGTGCCGTTGGCTTTAAGGCCGCCATGTCGTCGACCAGCGCCTCCACCTTGCCGCTGTAAAAGCCTACTGCCACGCCCTGGGGGGGAAATGGTACAGGGGAGGAAGGTCAGGGTGAATGAAGGAGAGGGGGTAGGTTCGGGGTGTGCTGGATATAGAGCCCCCATGTCCCCGATAAGTGCCTCTGATGAGGCATACCACACCGCCCTGGGGGAAGGGGAGGTTGGGAGAGGAGAGGAGAGGAGAGGAGTGGAGAGGAGACGAGAGGAGAGGAGAGGAGTGGAGAGGAGTGGAGAGGAGTGGAGAGGAGAGGAGAAGACAGGAGAGGAGTGGAGAGGAGGGGAGAGGAGTGGAGAGGAGGGGAGAGGATTGGAGAGGAGTGGAGAGGAGAGGAGGGGAGAGGAGAGGAGAAGAGAGGAAGGGAGAGGAGAGGAGCGGAGAGGAGAGGAGAGGAGAGGAGAGGAGAGGAGGGGAGAGGAGAGGAGAGGAGGAAATGGAGCATCAGGATAGGGCGATGTGGCACGAGTAAGGCAGGAAAGCCGGTGAGGAATGGACGACGTGAGCCACCCACCTGCACGTACAGACAACGTGAGAAACCCACCTACACTTACGTACAGACAACGAGAGCCACCCACCTGCATGTACAGACGACAAAAGCAACCCACCTGCATGTACATGGTGGCGAGTGCCGCCCGCTCAAAGATGTGCGCGAGGGGTAGGTAGGAGAGGTAGCGGTCGCCGGGGCCGAGGGTGACTCCTGACTGGCCAAGCACACTGGGGCAGGAGGTGGTGTTGGCAATGATGTTGCGATGTGTGAGCATCACGCCCTTGGGGTCGCCCTGGGGATGGGGGAAGGAGAAGTTGAGGAGACATCAGCGTTAACAAGCAACCCGAGGCAGGAGGTGGTGTTGGCAGGCACTGCAGTGCATCAGCATCATGCCCCTGGGGTCGCCCAGGGCAATGGGGGAAGGAGAAGGGGAGGAGACATCAGCGTTAGCAAGCAACCATCCGAGGCAGGAGGTGGTGTTGGCAATGATGTTGCAGAGCTTGAGCATCACCCCCTTGGGGCCACCCTGGGGTGGTCATACAAGTGATTGGAGGGGAGGGGAGGGGATGTCAGAAAAGAAGGCGGAGGAAGGGGCAGGGGAAGGGGCGGGGGAAATGGGGGGTTTGGGAGGAAGAGCATAGGTGGTTGAGGGATGTGGGAAGAGGAGGCAGGGGATAGTACAAGAAATCGGATAACACTAGCGGGTATCTGTGTGCGCATGAGTGTGTGTGTGTGTGTGTGTGTGTGTGTGTGTGTGTGTGTGTGTACATTCTGCTATCCCCTCCCCCAGCACCCCATCGTCCCGATCCCCATTCACAGTGGTGCCCAACGTGTACACGAGAACAGCCAGGTCTTCAGGCTAGGGCGGCAGGCAGGAGCTTCTGGGGGTTCTGCGCACCACAATACCCCACCTGGGAGAATGGCACCAGCTGCACGCCTGCTGCATATTACCCCAAACAGATTGCATATGGTGCCCATTACCACTCACAGTGGCTTTTCCCCTCCCATCCCCACTCACAGTGGTGCCCGACGTGTACATGAGAACAGCCAGGTCCTCAGGCTTGGGCGGCAGGTGTTCCTGGGGGTTCTGCGCGCCCCACTCCTCCACTTGGGAGAACGGCAGCAGCTGCACGTCTGCTGCCTCCGCTGCCTTCCTGTCTTCCTCTGTAGGCGCCTGCCCGCCCCCCTGCATGTAGATGATGGTCTTCACTGCCGGGCTGGAGGGCAGTGCCTTGAAGAGCGACGACAGGGTCTGGGGGGTGTGAGGGAGGGTAGAACGGGCGAGTGAGTCAGTTGAACAGCCACTGCCTTCCTGTCGTCCCCAGAGGGCGCCTGCCCGCCCCCCTGCATGCATATGACGGACTTCAATGCTGGGTTGGTAGGGACTCCCTTGAAGAGAGACGACAGGGTCTGGGAGGTGTGATGAAGGGAGGAGAGAGACGCGAACGAGGGGAAGGGTAGAACGCGGGTGAACGAGTGAACTGCGCGCTTGCTCTTCTCCCCTCCTCTAGGGGGAGAGGAAGGGGGGAAGATTACACACACACACACACACACACACACACACGCACGCACAACACACATTTTCTCTCTCTCTCTCCCTCACCTCCACGCTGCACACCACAGCCACCATCTCGGAGTGGTGCACCACGTGGTTCACCGCCTCCTGCCCCAGCGTCGCGTACCTAGGAGGGGGCGCAGGGGTGGGGGTGCACAGGTGTAGAGGGAGGAGAGTTTTGAGTATGAGTGGGCCAAATTGTGAGTGGTGCACCACGTGGTTCACCGCCTCCAGCCCCAGTGTCGCATACTGGGGGGTGGGGGCGGAGGGGTGAGGGTGGACAGGTGTGGAGGGAGGAGAGTTTGGATGGTAGAGTTTATACTCACAAACCCCCGCCACTATACTCAGAGCCCCCCATCATTATACTCACAGCCCCCCTTCACAATTCTCACATCGGCCCTTCACCATTCTCACAGGGACACACTAACGAGCTCGTAGCAGTAGCCACCCAGTTCTGCCAGCACCCACTTCACGTTGCCCCCCTTCACTATTCCCATATTGCCACATTTTCCGTACTCACAGAGACATATTCCCCGTAAACACTTACAGCCCCACTTCACCCCTTCACCATACTCACAGGGACACGTTTACGAGCCCGTAGCAGTACCCTCCAAGCTCTGCCAGCACCCACTCCGCGTTGTTCACGCTGTAGATGCCGAACCTGTCGCCGGCCTTCAGCCCCAGGTACACCAGCCCCGCACCAAAGTCGGAGGCTCGGCGCGCCGTGAGCTCGTAGCTCTCCCAGGAGAAGCCATCAGCGGTTCGGGTGCCCAGGCAGGGGTTCTGTCCATTGGAAGGGGGGT